AAAAAGGGTAAGCAGAGGAGGCGATACTGAGTGGTCAATTTGACAGTTTTGGACTGACCAACCAAATTGGAATTATCCAGCCCAAAAATATAGACCAATCTGAAAATGGCCAATTTCCTAGCCGTCAATCCTCAACAGCACCAATTGCACTTCGTTCCGTCTAGCGCAGGATCGCCGCCAACGCCGAGTAACTTTCCTTTGTCCAGATCCAACAGCAAGCTCAGTCGAGTCAGCGGCTCGCGGAGTCCTTCATTCTCCGTCTCTCTCATCAATCCAATTTCTTTGCCATCTCGCTTGGTGGCAGACCCTGTCTCCAATCGTCCACTTTCTTGTAATACAAATCCTCACATCCCTAGATGTGTTAGTCGCTTCCGCTCACTCACTGGGTCATCTTCACACCCTCCCGCGTCGGCCACCCGCGTTTGCACCAAAACACCATCGACACCATCTTCTTCTAGCGCTATAATTTTTCGGCCCTTCATGCGAATTCGAAGTCGCCGGCTGTCAGACAGCTCTCTCACGGACCTTTCCCCTCCTACCATTGATTCTGACCTCGATTTTGGGCTCAGTCATCCGCTTCACGACTCATCCACAAATCCAGACATTCCAACTACTCAATCTAGCCTCAAAGTCACCACCAGCGACTCTCACCTGCCGCAGATCCTCCCACCCAAGTCATCTGGACCGCCCTCGCCTCCCCATTCTTCCTTGCTTTCATGTCGCGCACCTCCTCCTGAAATCAATTCTTCAAATACACATATTTTTCCATCCCTGAGGCCTACTGAACACCATAAGTCTTCTCAAACGCATTTTCACACGTTAGATGGTGCACGCGCTACCGCTTCATCCATCTGTTCGCGCATGTTGAGCTCTTCCAAGCTCATCAGTACTGAGAAGCCCAATCGCCAGTCTAAGTTAGTGTTGCGCCCCTTGTCTGTGATCCTTTGTGGTCCTTTGTAGACTCGCCTTAGGTGACACGCCATTTCCAACAACACATAGGCTGATTGTGCGTTTTTCGCTTGAATATCCATCATCTCCCAATTAGCTCTAGGTCCACATCTCAGGAGCGAATCCAAATGGCTGTGCGCCATAAAGATAGTCTAAGCTCATTGAACAACACTGTCACTACGGCTCAACAAGAAAATTGTCAAACCGAAGTTGAGGAGATGGAGTCGATACGCGTATGTTGTAGTTTCTCTGTTATCTCCCTATCCGCCCTTTGTTCTCTTTCTTATTTTAAATTACACCTTCTCTCGAACAATTTTCCTCCTTCTCAACGATATTTCCAATTTGCGATATCGAAATTTCAGTCTCCTCCAAAAGCTCTTTGGGTTGACACGGGCCGTGCTGCTAAAATGCCATCAACATATGTGAGTAGACAAGTCTTTTAATTGCAATCATAGTCCCCTCTTTTCCTACGTCTTTGATTACTTACCTGATCCACTATTGACCAGAGTCCCTACGGAGGAAGCCACAGCGGCAATTCAACTTCGTCTCCCGGCCTTTTCTCCACTTCAACTTTCTCTCACAGGCCATCAGGCGAGTCCGAAAGAGGTTTGAACTCTGCCACTCACAGTCCTCGTCGCTGCCCTGCGCCGCCTCCAATCAAGGTGCCCAAACTTCGAGCTGCTCGTGTAGCCATCGCCGCTGATGGTGATGGGTCTCCGCCCCCGATGGTGGCAGCAAATGTGTCACGTCACCGCGCTACTGGATCTGAGAGTAACGTAGCCAAGGACCGCCGACACGCCGGTGTTGAGTGGCCACTTCTTACACGTCATGGATCTCTCAGTATCTTTGCACCGCGGCTTGTGTCTCAGCCAATGGTGGCCCATCACGAACCTGCCACACTCGGATCAGACGTATTTGAGGATCTTGCCGGCTCGCCTCATCCTGCCAAAGTCCATATTTCGGTGTCTGCGTCGTCAAAGCAGACTCACTCACCTTCTAGGGCACATTTGGCCGACAATGGCGCTTCAGAACAGATCCAGTATCAAACACCTCCACTATCCATCTCCCGCCACTCTAGGTGTCTCAATTCTCTCGGTGCTGCGAAAACCCGAACTTCTCCCAGTCGTAGCCCTAGTGCGCGCAGTGGATCACGCGCTTCGACACCATCATCAGCCGTCGACGCCCAGATAGTCTCAGTATCACACCGGCGCACGAATACGGACCTTCAAGGGGATCCTAGTACATCTTTCGATCTCCCCAAAAGAATCTCGCTTGCACCTGCTCCCAACCAATCCTTGATCGAGATGCCCCGGTCCATTGCGGTGCCCAAGATCATCCCACTACCGGAAATAGCTAGTTCATCAAATGTAGAAGGCAGGGCAAGACATCTCAGCACCTTATCTCATAATAGTAACTTGCTGCCTGAGACACCCTGCCTGCATCGCTACCCAAGTCCTGACGTCGATATTCAGCGCCAAGGTCGAGCAGACTCTTCTGCTTCTTTCGATGTGCGCAACTTACCATTTACGCTGGATGGATCCGATGAACATCCTATGCCTCGAATGGCAACAACACCACCGCCACAGAATTTCAGCTCGACCATCGCACAATCTATCGCCATCCCCCAGTTGCCTCCCATGCCAGCCATTGACAGAATTACTCCGCTGAACAGCACTTGTAGAGCCGCGCATCCATCAACTAACTTGCACCAAGAAGATTATGCAGCTCAGGGCTCATTGCGCACGGTCGGTTCAAATCTTTCTAACGGATCTTCTGTCGTCACCAACCAATGTCGTATCCCGGTTTTCACGCCGGACAGCTCAACTGAGTCGACGTATTCCATCCACTCGGGAGGCTGCAGTCCTGAGTATTCTTGCCCTCGAAGTCGCAGTGCCGATGACCTTACTGTCCCTTTAAGTCATCCATCTCCTATCAAACGTGGTTCCCGACCTCGTTCCATGTCTGATCGGGGCCCAGATCGGCCTGCGACCTTGCTGGAGCTTGCGAGTGGCACGTTGGACCATGAAAAGCATCTGAGCCACATCGATGAGCAAAAGGCAGACAAACAGTCAATCCCACTCCCGCCGAACTCCGGAAGTTTGGGTAAAGTCCAGCCGTTCCCATGGGTGACGCAATCATTAGATTACCTAGAACGACTTGGTACTTCAGAGCAGGCTCAACTCATTAGGCAGGCACTCGCGATTTATCCCAACGAATCTCACCGCTTTGTGGTGGGTGATACTTCCAAACTCGTAAGAGAAGTGCACGAGTGTCCGAAGCGCATACAAGACCTACGTGGTATGTCTCATCTCGTTCCTACCACCATACATTTCCCTTGCTAACAGATAATCGTTCGACTGCATAGCAAATTACCTATCTGACATCGCCAGGCGTGAAAAACTTCTTAAGCGGCATATCATGACTCTCCGTGCTTTCAACGGCGATGAAGGCGCACGCTTCGGCGATACCCTTTTGAAGGCAATCAGTCAGGGTGATGAAGGCGTTTCTGAATTGTTTTCTCTGGTCAACTACACTTCTCACGTTGAGCGAACATGTGAAGCACATTGGAGAGCTGCCGCCACTGTAGAGATGCGCAAGCTGAAGGCTACTGAAGAGAAACTTGCCGCAGCCGATGCAACAATACAACAGCTCGAAGACAATCGCTTGCGCGATAAAGCACGAATTGAGAAATTGGAAGAGCAACTTCGTTGCGCACTTCAACGAGCCGAAGCTGAATCATCCCCAACACTACGTCAGGACACGATCGATCATGCCAATATCGCGACTTCCAACCAAACTCAGACGACCGTCGCACCCGCCACACTACCAACATCCAACGCCAGCCAGATTGCGTCCCTCAACACTAGACCGACGCCAAATCTTCCCCGAGCACCTCTTCGGCCCCTCAATCCCATTTCTAAAAACAATCCCACATTTTCGACCGAGGCTTCACAGAATCTTGGCGTATCATCTACCACACCTAAGATACCGGCATCTCGCTTACGGCCTTTCGGTCATCGTCCAGGGACAGCCAACTCTGTGGACCATATTCAAGATTTGCCGAGCTCAAGCTCATCCGCTCGACTTTTTGAAAGACCACGAGTGGTCCCACGACTACCAGTTGGAGTACCTGAACCCGAAGACCCTAAATCCATTAACATCAGCACCTCCAACGTGCCTGAGATATCACACCGACCGGAGATTTTAAAAACACATAAACGCCCGGCAATGCAAATAGGCCTGAGTGCACGCAGTTTGTTCACCGGAAACAAGTGGCGAAAGCCTTCTGAAGTAGCTGTTTCATCCAACTTGGCGCCCCCAGTCTCACATCTCGACTACACCACTGGCAATCAATTTGCCACGTGGAGCCCAGATCGTGCATCAAGGCCTCATCAGGAGTCCTTAAACACACTTTTCAAGCCTCTGAGCAAACCAGAAAAAATCGTGAAAGCGACTCCCGTACCGCAGCTTCGTCATCCTAACCAGTCCACCACTTTTCCTCAAGTACCACCGACGCAGGCCCAACTCTCACCACCGCCACCACCACCGCCTGCTCAGGCCAGCCTTCCCTTGCCATCAGAAGGTAACGGTCTTCGACGTCAGCCCAACAGATTGCGTTCTGACAAGCCAGTATCGAATAATTTAACATCAATCACTCTTTCTCAACTTGGCTCGCTTGACATCGCACACATGTTAACCGGCCTCAATACTCCCACATGACTTTCATCTCATTTTTTTTACCTAAACTCCTATCTTGTTCCCAATGTTTATCGCTTTTTTTGACCTATTGTGTTTATTCTGTCCACATCATAGTGGTTTCAGGTCTCTCATTCTACGTCCTTCTTGTTCATCTAATTAATTTTTGGACGTTTTTACATCATTTCGCCTTCCTTTCCACGAACAATATACTGTCTTTTTTCCCAGAGTGTGTCTCATTTCTCTCCTATTTAAATATATCAGTATCATTAGAAACCGGGTTGAAGATAAGAGGTGGATAGGGCTTTCCCATCTGTACTTGCGATGCGACATTTTTATTAATACATCCTACTGAATCATTTTTGTGCGAGTTTGAGATCATGTTTTCTTTGTTGGTAACAAAGCAATACATTTATAAATTTTATAAATTTAAGGTTCCGTCACATGATCCCACTAGCTCTACATATTTTGAGTCTATATAACAGCCGTATATATCTCTTTCTAAGATTGAACCGCACAGATTCAGAACATTATCAAAGGGCTGTTGAAATCTCTTTTATTGCACCATTCACGTGCTTACCTCTGCTGCACTGGAATGGATATATACACGTATGTACAACAGCCTGTCAACAGGTTTAATGAATCCGATTCCCAAATTTCTCAGCCATTCGCTAGTTTTGCGGGCAAAGTTCCGCAAGCTTTTTGAAGTTGACTGAATGATGATGAACTGGATCTGCAGCAAATTGAATGCAAAACGTGCTCATCGCTTTTCCGGATCCCATACGTCAGGCTTCGAGTCTTCTGCATGTACCCTTCTACATTTTGCTGACAGCCTCCACTACCCTTACAGCACTGCACAGCATCGATCATCGATGAATCGTTTGTTTGAAGTTCCATGTAATGAATAGTAAATGTTTAGTTATATTCTATAAAGGTTTTATCAAATATTCGACAAATAACGAATACGGTTGTTAACGTAACAATTTCTTGATGGGCCGGAGAGCGATCATCAATCTTGATGGACTCAACATCTAAGGCCCCATCCCTATGCGTCTCGCTTTCACTCAATATCATGATAACTCGGTAGGAAACACTGATATATCACATCTATGAGGACCAAGAAGGAGGGAAGGCCTCCAAGCGTGCCCACACTCATCAACGGATCACACTGCAAGATCACGCAGGGTGCACCGATGAAAGAGTAGATTGCCCGACATTGCATACAGTATGCATGATTCTCTCCGAATACCTCTTCCATTTTTGGCGAACTCTGATTAATCAGGAGATGATGTGTTGCATGATTCAGCGGTGAAATCCAACCTTGGCACGGCCCGAATGATACGATGACAATCCGTTGCGAATGCGCTATGAGAAACACTACTGGCTACTCACTCTTTTGCAGGGTGCGGGTAAATGCGTGGAGTATGTAGGAGTCGGACGCGTCGACTTCTGAGCTAGATAGACTATTAAAAGTTAATAGAAGCCGAAGCATTAAGCCAATCCAGCGCACACTCCAGGAGAGTGCAATTCTTTCTTTCTTGCGTAACTCAATCGTCTAACGCGGCACAAGGATCTTGGACAATCTTCATATCAGCTTTCATCATTATCATTTTTTTTCCAAACCAACATCATCACGATGAATTTTATGAGTCAATTTTCACTTTCTCTGCCTTTCGTAGTTGTCGGGTTGATTTTAACTCTCGTCAGCTGTCAAGCCATTGGGCGAGATGGATTATCACCACCAGTGGCTGTATCAAATGCAACCAAGAGGTCTCAGATGCACAAGGCGGGTGGTTCTCCAGGCTTCCAACGAGGACCGTCAAGTGATGCTACCACTACTCAGAAACTCAATAACAGCACCGGAAGCGCCCCGGGTAAGATATTGTCCAACGGCATAAACTCTGTTGAGTCCAGCAATCTGGGAAGCTACCAGCTGTTTGGAAGAGGTCTAGCGACCTCTACTAACATTTCCTCAGGTGGTCAAGCTGAGCAGCCTATGTCAAAGATTTCGGCCCGCTCGCTGATCATATCTGTGGGTGGGGGTGGAATAATCAAGACCAACCCAATGGAATCAAACAGAGGAAATAATCCGAATGGACCAGCATTTTCTCAACAGCCAAGTAATTCCAACCCTTCATCTGGTTCTCAACAGCGACCTCCCGTCAATCCGACATCCTCCCCACCATCCACTTCAAATGTTACTGTCAATTCTCAACAGTCTGGTTCGAATACTATTTCTAACACTCAAAACTCCTCATCAAATGCTGCATCCAATTCACAGCAACCTCCTAAAAATGGGCCATCCAATCCATCGCAATCTACCTCAAACTCTACATCCAATTCTCAGCAATCCTCTTCGAATGCTACATTCAATTCACAGCAACCTCCTAAAAATGGTCCATCCAATCCATCGCAATCTACCTCAAATTCTACATCCAATTCTCAGCAATCGTCGTCGAATGCTACATCCAATTCTCAGCAATCCTCGTCGAATGCTACATCCAACCCTCAGCCACCCTCTTCAAACGCTACATCTAATCCTCACCAGTCTTTGCAGAATGAACCCAATCCAGCGCTCGAAAGTCTCAGAAGAAACATCAATTTCGCCTCACGCACAGACTCCACTGCATTATTGAGAAATGCTGTTAAACAAACTCCGAAACTTTATTGGATAGGTTGTTCTGACTCGAGAGTTTCAGAGACTTTGTTGATCGAGGCAGAGCTAGGAGAGGTTTTTGTTGAAGTGAGTCGATTCGATTTTGAGCTTTAGCTCACATCTTCCGCCATACCGGTTGACTTTGAGGTAAGCTTACCTGGTACCGTTCGATTTGGTATAGCGAAACATTGCCAATCTTTTCAAAGCCGAGGACGCACGTACATCAGCCGGAATGGAATATGCGATTCATTCTCTTAACGTATCCCATGTAGTTCTTGTTGGACATGAAGGTGAGTGAATCTTGGACCTTTCCGTCTATCGACAATGAATATCGCAAGCTAGGACACTCATTTTGCATCGGCATCTTTCATGACCCACAATCTTGGGAACAAGGTTGCGGTGGCTGCGTGACAGCTCTGGCTTCTGCCCGTGAAAACGTCACGGGAAAAGCTCCAGCGGAAAAGTTGAGTGTTGGAGAGCAGGCTATTGTTGACTGGATTGCGCCTATCCGACAAATGGCGGTGGATATGCTTCAACGTATAGGAGGTACAAGTGCTCAAAGGTCTCCGACGGCCCAAGAATATCGAAAGCAATTGAGTACCCTGGTCGAACTCAATGTTTTTCAACAAGCACGAAACATTTTAACTTCACCTGTGGTCAAAGACGCAAAACGTCAGGGCCGCTCTATCTGGGTCTACGGTTGGATTTATGATATTGAAACTGGAAAAATTAGACAAGTATTATCGGAATCATCTTTGTAAGAAAGAATGTCTTGACTTGAGGTAGAATTCCTCCAAACATAAATCTTGATTGCATGATAAGTTGTCGATCCCTGAATATTTTCATCAACCAATCTTCTGAAGTTGTCGGCCTGATTTTTCAAATTGTTATGATAAACATTCACCATAAAATCTCTCTACTTTGGTATTCGGCATGGAGGTTGTCTCATCAGTCATTGAGGACAAGACGACCAGTTGTAACTCATGCATTCATCTCATCAATTTTCATTGTGTCCTACACCCGTGAACATATGTTGTCGTATCTATGCAGTACAAACTATTTGAAAAGTTAAAACACCACAAAGGAATCCATCTCGTCGTCCTCGGTGATAGACCCCGACAAGAGAGCTGTATCCGCGTCGCAATCATTATCATCATCTTGTCTCGTACTTTAGTTGTAAGAGAGAAATTTAAACTAATAACGCCTCCTGATCCCTATGTTGATTTGCTTCTCCAAAAATGTTCTACCAGCCTTGTTTGATTGGGTTGTCATATGTGTATGATGGAATGCTGGTATTGATATTGCCATTATGGAAATATCATCAAGAGCTTCCAATTTGCACATGCGATTGCTCATACTTCCCACAATGACATCATAGAAATTATATCTAAGACATCTGAAAGAGATAGTCTGAAAATTAACTAATGTCCAACTAACAGCCAGAATCAACATGATTAATCTTACTTCTGGTATTAATATTACTCGCTACCTTACAGACATCCTCATCATTTATATTCATTTTGAAACTCTCATTGTCTTGAATATCTCAATACCCTTCTTATTCTTGAAAGTTTCAGTCATATAGACTTTGTATTCTAACTGCCTCAGTAAGAGAATTGAGATAGGTAAATCTGATGAATGTATTACTATAACATCTAAGATTTAAATTCAATACAACAGTTGAACTTACAACTCTTTCATTCATTTACACAGAGTCAATTAAAACTTACCATATGAAATCAACTTGACCAAATCCACCTTTGAAGTATAGAAAAAAAGGGGGTGGGCAAATCAACACTTTATTCAATTCAAATCTTTGTTGTTAAACTTTTTTGAAACCAAAAAAAGCACATGGACATCAATGGACCCCTTAAGTCTTGACTTTATAAACAAACAAAGATTTCCCCATCCAGTTTCTATATGTTTTAAATGCAATATTTATATATGTATATATGATTTTTTGCATTCCAGTTACATCAAAATCCTCAAGTACTAAAATATATACTAGTGACTACTTCACTAATTCACTTTGAAGATCACTCGAATTACTCAAAAATTCATCGCCATCACCATCACTGTAAACATTATACATCATCCCCAAGTGCAAATGGGAAAATGATTAGTCTTGTAGTTTGTCATAAAAACATCTATCACTGCACACCTGAGCCATAACACCCACACTACATATGTGCAACAAGCTAGATAAAATGTTAGCTATCATGTACATACAGGTCTGCTCAGTTCCCTGTTCATCTGAATAAGTAAAGGATTTTACTAAATCCAGCCCCCCCTTGCAAGGGTTGACCACCCCCTTTTTAGCCGGGGAAAAGAATAGTACAAGGGTATAATACAAACATGGGATGAGAAGGGGGCGGTCTGGGACTGTCAAAATTCAGGCGAATTGAAACAAGTCATGATACACATAATATAACATTAACAGCGGATGTAGCATCTTGATTCTGACTTTGGTTTGGGTTATTGAACCTGTGTAATCATTGATATTGATGATTAACTTTGTCCTCAACATTGGTAAAGGCTCAGACCAGTCATATGTTTCTGTGGCTGTGAGGGAAATGTACCTCCTTCAATGAGAAGATTTCTTCTAGTCAAAAACTCCTTTGCTATTCAAGACAAACATGATTAGTGTCTTTGCCTTGAATCTGAATGCAAGGCGTTTCTAAAAGCCAGATTGATCAAATTTATAGATGATTGGATGTTAAAACACACTGGCCATGGCATGTCCCAGTGAAGCACGCTCAGCCAAAACTCTTTGGTGCATAAGATGGAGTTGTTCTTGAGTCTTGACCATCTCATTCTGGTGGAGGTTTGTCAAGGTCAGTCTCTCACTTGTTTTTGCTCCTAAATTTTTGTTTCCCGGCTTATTTGGAGAATACAGCTCTAGACCGCCCCCTACGTGGGATATGCAATATTTTCCATTCTTTTACTCAACAATGTCTAGGTGGGTTTGTTAACAAATCTTTTCTTTTTTATTCATTACTCATCTGCACCAAGTTTGTATGCTTACAAATTCTAAGTTTCCAGGTTGTCCAGGGTATGTCCTAGGCAAACCAAAAGTATTCGTAATGAATGCTCTTGGTCTCTTGGGGGGGGGCCCCCGACCCTGGTAAGGGCGGAGGGAGGTAGGACTACCCGTGACAGTAGGCGGGAGAGCGCTGGACGGTGGGCTAGGCAACTCCCGCTACTAGAAACTTATATATACACATATTACCACACACATTAACTAAACTAACGTAATTTAACTTACCAGTAAGTTGTCCACAACCCCACTCTTTCACCTGAATTCGTCTCCTGGGCGGTGGGTGGGTTCGAAAAAGGAGAAGACAAGCTAGAGGCTTGTGTTGTGAGAGAGAAAAAATGCGATAGGGAGTTTCCAGAGAACGGGCGTGAGGAAGCGGAGATGGGGGATTGACGCGCAAAGAAATTTTTGCAATGAGAGGAAATTTTCCTAAGCTGTCCGTCAAGGGAATCCCATACGTGGTATAGGGATTTCTGTATTGCCCATAGTCCAACATCAGCCCGTATCATGGAAACAGACGGTACCGTCGTGCCTTTGGGTACCGTCCACCATGAATTGAAATACAGCATCAAAGGGACTTCTTCCAGTATGACAAAATGGTCCCCAAAATTGACTACATATACTTCCATAGCTACACAAGCAATACTAACAAAGCCATTCAACAGTAACAGAAAGGGTGTTACATGGATTTTAGTCAATGGAATTAAACCAAAACTATGACTCACACCACAGGAATCAACTTGTTTGAAACCCGATTGAGCTTAATTTTGGTGTCCGGGTTTGAAATTTCCTGAAGTCATGAATCTTGTTCACAACTCGTTTGCATTATGTTTGCTGATTCCCCTCAGGCTGTATGCTGTACTCGGCTGGCCCGTGTATGTACAGTCACATCATACAGCAACATCCCCTTTCACCATTCCCACCTTCATCCTCATTTGTCAAGCCTGGATCAACCAAAACAAAAACGCAGTTCAGCGGGAACATGATAAGTGGTGAGATATGTAATCAAATGGCTGGAATCACAGGTTTTGGAAGTGCTGTGTATGTGTATGTATTGTAGGGTACTTGAGGGAAATTGGCAAACATAATGCTAACAAGTTGTGAACAAGATTCACAATTCAAGGAACTTTTGAACCCAGACACCAAAATTTTGTGCAATCAGGTTTCAAACAAGTTGATTCCCGTGGTGTCAGTGTATGTAGTCAATCTTTTTTTCTCAAACTGAAAAAAATTTACAGCAGGCATCACATATGATATACTTGTTCAGATGAGCCAATATCTGAGCAGCTCTGTATGTACATTATGGCTCCAAATTTTTTCATCCTTCTGCACATATGTAGTGTGAGTGCTATGGCTCTGGTGTGCAGTGATATGTATTTTCATGACAAACTACAATTTTAACCATTTTCCTAATCTCACTTGGGGATAATGTATAATGTTTACAGGGCATGATCCATTTAACTTCTACAAACTGTGCATAGTTTGTATCATTATCATTATCATTAATAGTCTCATTCCAAGATTTACTATAACTTTCAAGTATCAGACTAAGCAAATGAAAGATTAACTTCAAATGCTTGATTCATTTTACCTAACATACAGTCAAATCGGAAAAGCTTGCCCAATTTTGCCCGCAAAACTCGAGCAATTTGGCGGGGAATTTGTGACAAGCTTTTCCGGTTTGACTGTACATACAAAAGTTTGAAATTAGCTCAAGATTAATGAATTGCAACTGCTGATCAAAACTCTAGTGACTATGTAGCTAAATCAAGACCCATTCATAAAAATAGTAACTCAACTATAATTGAAAATTCTTTCATCATCTTATAACAAACCTTTATACTCTCATCTGACTTGCCTAAGAGTTGTATGATGTCTTAAGGAATGTGTTGTAAACTCTTTTTACTACTTTCTTCAGCATGGGTCATTTGTTGGGCCAGAAGTACCCAAACAACTTCCAAATGATTGATGACCCCAAAAGTCAACTCAGCTAAAGTTGAAAATTCTTTCATCTTATAACACTGCATGGATAATGTATTTCACCCATGCGGAAAATGATTGCATTTAATGCAGAAATTGATTGCAAATGCAGAAAACATGAATGCATTATTCATGCAGTGTAATAAACCTTTATCTCTCATCTGACTTGCCTGAGAGTTATAGGATGTCTTGGGGAATGTGTTGCAAACTTTGTTTACTACTTTCTCCAGCATGCATCATTTGTTGGGCCAGAAGTACCTAAACAACTTCCAAATGATCAAGGACCCTCACCTCTTTGTATCCCATGAAACACAGCCTGTTCCACAATAGGCACGAGTTTTTACAGGTCAACAGCCACACCCCATTATCAATGTTTGACAGCTTCAAAGCTCCATACACATAAAACCTTACCAAAAGCAATTCAGACTGTTTGTAGTCCAGAACAATGCTCTCTCATAGTACCATTTCTCCAACAAGAACCCAATCTATGTAAGTCAAATTGTGTAATGCCATTGAAATCTTTTCTTCACATCTCATATCACAAGAAAATTCATAAAGACAAAACCCAATCAAAACAAGGTATCATCCTCACAAACTCACTCAATCTTGTAACATGAGACCATTATCCAGTCAAAGAAAATGTAAAATGGATGAAATCAAGAAGAACATGATCATTAATTGTATCAAAGCTTATTTTTTCTCTTTTGTCTTGCAGAACACTCAAAAAAAAGAAGAGATGAACCGCAAGAATGTGAACTAGATAGACATCAAACATGAACAAACACACACACACAACCAACTCATCTCTCATCTTGATTATAAACCAATTCAAGGAGATCAAATGATTGCTTGTCCAACTTGTTCTTCGTTCACTTGAATGTTTTACCATCAGCGTACTCAAGTCCATCGAAGCTATATCAAAACAGATGCGTTCTAATATCGGTCAAACGATCCACGTCACATGTATGATCATTCAAAAGCTTACGTGTTGTCCCAGTTCCAGCAACCTTTGATGAAATCAAGGTCCTTCTTGAAGTCGAGGGGTTCAAACGCATAGCTTTCCCAATCAGGTGCAACATCAAAGACAGCCTTGAAGTCATTTCCTCGGATCATGTATGCACCTTGGATCTTCGATGCATTGTTTTTACCATAGACACCGGCACTAAAGACCATTGAATTTTTGGTCAGCTAAGCCAGGAAAGATCAAGAACATCCACTTTACAACTTACGAGCCGAAAAGGTACTTGCGCGAACCCTCCAATCGGTTGTGGAAACCTCCGATCAAGTTGGAAGACATGAAGACTTGAGTTAATTCCTCATTGTACTGATGCCATTGAACGTCACCAACAAAGACATCAGGTTAGCGTTGAACGCAAAAAGATCAAAAATGGACATCCAATCACTTGCCTTGTAAGAAACTTTCCAGAATGAGTATTCACTCAAGTCGATGTTGTCCTCGAGCCACTTCATGGCAACAGGGAATTCCGAGTTGGAGTATTGACGTTTCCATTCATCGAATGGGAAACATTTGGCAGGTCCTAAGGCCTCACAAGGGTGCTTGGCCTTGGGCTCAGCAGGTACTGCAGGCTCTTCTTCTTCGTCATCCTTCTTGGCCTTCTTCTCCGACTTGGGGGCAGCAGCAGCTACTGGTGCTTTCTCCTTCTTTGGTGGGCTGTACTCCACTCGCTTTGCAAGAAGTGTGATTTCACCACCTGCTGCAGACAAGAAAGCAGGTTGGTGGGTGATTGTCTGGAAATGTCTGAACACGTTGGGGTATTTTGCCTTCCATGGGGCATCAAGGATAAAACCAGCGGCCCAAGAGAGGTGACTAGCCAAGAAGATATCGGCAAGTGTGATACGCTCTCCAACGAAGAAAGTGCGAGAGTGTAACAACTTGTCGAGGGTAGCGAAAAGACCGGCAGCCTTCTTTTCGGCGTTGGTGACGTTGACCTTGTTGTAAGGCTTGTTGTATGGTGCGAGAACCACGATTCTGTGAGAAAGATCGTTTGAATAGAGAGTCTTGAGCTTCATAGGACATATACGCAGTGCGAGTGTATACAAGAAACAACTTACTGCTCAGCTAGAGAGCCGACGAGCTCTGTGCTGAAGAAGAGAGACCACTGGAGAACTTCAGCCTCTTGCTCCTTCGATTGACCCAACAATTTAGCCTTGGAGTTGATCGAGGCAAGGTACTGATCAAAAAGATTCCACGTCAGTCGGATTCTACACGGTGAGTTTTGAAGCCAACTAAATCATGGCTTACATGAGCGATGGCAACAGATTCGGTGATGTTGATTCCAGGACCTTCGAGAGCAGGGATCTTTCCTTGACTGTGAGGGAATTTAGCAAAGTAAGCCTCATCGAGACCTTCTTTGGTAGCAAGGTTGATTGGAGAAAGCTTCAAGTCGATTCCTTCAAGTTGAGCCTGTTAAGTAAATTAAGATTTGATGAGTGAAGTTCCAAGAAGATTTGAATGATGAATTGAAGAATAGAAAGAGATATCCAACTCACAGCAACTAAACAAGCTCGGGTTCGAGGGTTAGACTGATGAAAAGAAAAGTGAGCTAAAGAGACCGATTTCAAGATAGATCAAAGAAATCTTTCTAACCTCGGAACCGTAGAGAGTGAAGGACATGATGATTAAAGAAAAATGGGTTAATTGGAGATGGATGAATGAGTTATTGTTGTTGTGAAGTAGAAAGTTAAAGTGATCGATCGATTGACAACTTTAATGTGAAGGGGGAAGAAGCTGTTGACCAATACCCGCGACAAACCAGATTTGAAAAAAGTGGTCATCGGGTGACACACTGCGCAGCCGCAGCTCAGCAAATCACCTGGCTGTCATCGACTCTCCGTTCTCTCCCAGCTGAATATGTCACAGCTGGAATATTTCACATGCATGAAATCCAGCTTGAAGCCTTCGATCAACAATCAACATCAATCACCAAGCCAGAATCCAATCGAAAGCTCAACTCCAAGGAACTCCAAATTGAAATCAAATATAAAAACAATGTCAGCTGCTTCATTACCCAAACTCAATGTCCTAAGACGAACTCAGCAATACCTGGTAAGCTTCTATCTATTTCGAACTCATCTTCATAACCTTTGAAAATAAACCTGATGGTCAAACTGATTTCTTGGTTCTCAAATCTTTCAATTCCCTTCCATTCTGACCAAATAGAGACGTCAAGCACATGAAAATCCTGCAATCTTTTGGTCTATCGCTATCGGATCAGCAGGTGAAATTCAATTTGTTAACTTAAATTTGATCCAACTTGATCTACAGTTCAATCCTAAGGCTTTTGAAATCATCTCCTGGGTTGGATTTTAGGACCGGTCTTATTAGCCACCGTACCACCAATCCGACGTAATTATTTTGGTTATCGATCTCCTGAACCAATACCTGGTTCATACCCTCGTAAATCATTTATTTCTCTTCTATATAAAACGGTTTGTAATCCCAAAATTTTGCTTTGAATACTAAACCCTTTTTCTTTTGTTTGTAGTTCCTAACAGGTCAAGGGATAGTCAATTATCAGGATATGATGATTAAACGTTTTTGAGAGTTTCCTTTGTTTTTTTGTTATATATATACTTCAATTCGATACACCTACCCAATACTTAGGTTTTTGTTTGATTAAAGTGGGTTTCTTTTTCTTTTTTTCTTGTGGGGTTTGAAATTCATTGAACTATCTTCAAAACCTGCTTGATACCTTGAGATCATCCTTTACTTCAGGATGCGAAAAGAGCATTCTACGTGTACATCGTTTGTGCGAGTAACTCCCTCTTAGCGTTCCAGGACTATGATGTGTCAGACAAATGGTAATCTGGCATGTGATCCATGTGGTGTGAGTGCAGTGGCCCGTAGCCATGACTGACCCTCATAGTTCCCACTCGATGGGAGTGAGTGAGAATAAATAACCCGACCAAAGCTTGCGGTTGCGGTCATCTGGCGATTTGCACCTGAAGATCATAAGTCTAAAATACGGGATCAGTGAATGGACGGCTGATTGGCTTTGGGCCCCTTTGTCATATGTGAGCTCGATGAGGTTTTACAAAGCCTGTTCAACGACGCGTGACCTAGGCAAGCCAGCAAACCTCAATCAGATGAACGCAAAAGATCATACAATTGGGTCATGAAGATATGATCGAGAAAAGTAGGTTTTTCCAACATTGAGAGTTTCATCAAAGAAAGTCAACTAAAAAACATTTAATGCAAATCAAGGGGGAATAGAGAAGATCAAAGTAAAGAACCTGTGAGCATCAGTTTACACAGTCACTGTCAGCAAATCTGAAAGCGGTAGAAGAACAAATCAGTTATGACTAAACTTGCCCTGATTGACCATGAACTTTGAATGCTGATTGAGTAAGATCAACTCCGCAAGAGAAAGACAGCACAGTTAAATTAGTCAGATTGGATTGGATGAAAAAAGATTGCAAAGGGTCTGACTAACTCCTGAAGTTGATGACCAGAATATTTAATAAGCAGCTGAGCAGAGCTAGAATACGATTGCTTTATAAGATTTTTGTTTATTGAGTTGAATCCAATCAAAGATACTCTACTGTGTTCTAGTCGAAGATGTTTAACTATCCAAATCGAAACCAACAAACCAAGAAGCGATCCAATTCTTCTCAATCTGATTCCCAAAAACCAAAGTCAACTTCATTTCATTCGATTTCTAATCATCATCCAACCAATCCCAATACAAGAAACACATTTAAAAGATTGATCTTATTATCTGATGGTAAGATTCCTCGTCTCTGATGAACTTCATTGTGAATATTCATATTGGATTCTATGAATTTCAAAAGGTACTTGGAATTCAGCTTATCACACAGATGGAGTTCATGAGTTAACAAATGTCACCAGATTAAGTAAGTAAGCATCTCTTCACTCAATCTTACCTTCTTACATAACTAATGATATCTTTTGATTCGGGTTAGCTCGATCGATATTGGCAGAAGACTTCTCGAGTTCTCCTTATATTCCTCAAGTTGTGTTTTATCAAACTGGTTTAGGTTGGTCTCTATTTTGACTTCTTTACGTACCAATTGATATCAATCAGTCTTTAATGGGTCTTGATTGACTTCTTGATCTTCAAGGTACTTCGGGTGATTTTAGTGTAAGTTTGAAACATCTTGCCATAGGTTTTTATCTTGATCGTATCCAATTTTTGAAATCTATAATATCTCATTGTACATAGTTGGACTTGAAATCTGGTGTTACTGGCTACGGAATGATTGATAAGATCAAAGAGTCATACGCTTTCATCGTTTATAATTGGTTACCAGGAGATGAAATCTTGTAAGTCTGATTCTCTTTTACAATGATTTGGAAAGGTTTTTTGAAAGATGAAGATTTCCTAGGCTTTTTGGATTTTCTCGTGGTGCATTTATTGCTAGGATGATAGGTGCATTGATAGATGATGTAGGGATTTTAGATTCAACTGAGATGGATAGTTTTTATGATATCTTTCAAGCTTATGTAGCTCTTGGCAATAATGATTCTCATAAACAATTAGAAGCAAATCAATTTCTTTCTCTTTATAGGACTGGTGGTTCGAAAGCTACTAGACCTATGCCGAAAGGAACTCTTAAATGTATTGGTGTTTGGGATACAGTGGGTGCTCTTGGAATACGTTAGTCTTTTCTACGCTTATATTATAGAAAATTGTCTCTTTTTTCTTAATTCTTTCGTTATTTATTTTTTGGAAAAGCTCTCTTTACAAATCGTTCATCCGATCCGCATTGTCTGGGATTCGTGGATACTCAGTTAGGTAAACATGTTCAATACGCCTTTCATGCACTTGGTAAGCAGCCATTTTCCTGATTCATCAAAAAACTATCTTAAATTTATTTGATATATTGCTGATCTCTTTTATCACTATACATATGTATTTGAAAGCAATCCATGAAACACGAGAAGACTTTCTTCCCACCAAGTGGCAACAACCTCCAGAACAACGTCAGGCAGGACAAATCTTGAAACAGGTCTGGTTCCCTGGATCTCATAGTGATGTTGGAGGTGGTTATGCTGAGCATGATTTGGCTGATTTGGCATTAATCTGGATGGTGGTAAGCCCTTGTGATGATTGTCTTGCGAGTTATCAATGTCGATTGAACTCATTTTAATGGTTCTTTGTTTGATAACCAGGCAAATTTAATCGAATATGGATTACTTGCTATTGATACTGAGTTTATTTTCGCAATTCCCGCGCCAAAATTTGGTTGGGGACAAATGGAACCACACAAGTGAGTTTGAGATCATGGTTTCTTGAACAATCTTTGGATTAAGTTAGGTGAAATGAAAGTTTTTGTTTCTGATTGATGAACCGTTTTTTTGTTTCGAAAGTCCAAGAGAAGATTTTCCAGCTTCATTAAGTTATTCAACCATTCGAAAACTTCCTAAACGTTCAAAAGAAGTCATTCTTACACAAGAAAGGTTTCATTCTTCAATTATTTCAAGAAACGATTTAGATGAAGATTTAAAGAAGACATTAGAACGATCACCCGATTTGATTACTAATCTTTTACCATTAGAGATTGAAATGAAAGCGAGATGGACACGAGAATGTGGAAAGCAGAGATCTCAATTCTGTGAGATTAGAGAAGAAGTTTTAGATTTGAGTAGTAATCATCATCATCATCATTCTAATCAAAGACATTCGATTCTTGAAGAAGTTGAAGACTCTGGTCAACTAGGTAGTAAAGAATTGGACGGGAAGGTTATTAATACTACCACGACTACTGTTACTAGTAATTCAAAGTTTGGGTTCTTGAGGTTTGCGAAATTGAAACTCTGGAGAGGTCAAAGCCTAGGATCGATTTTTTCTTTTCTTTGATCAGGAATTGATTTTTATCAAGTTTATTGGATATTGAAAGATTGAAAGGTTTACCTTTTTCATTTTATTTTTTGATATCACAATATTTTGAAACTTAATTGTATGAATAAGTTTTTTGTAAATACATATGCAGTGCTTTGTACTTTTATGATACACACGTAATGAAAGAATTGGACGATCTGTTTGTAATTTTTTTTTCGCAATGTTGAGTGAGTTGTAGATGTGAGATTCGGTTAGTATTTTTTGAACATGTTTGTAAGCAGAAGAATCTTGTAGCTGTGTTTCCTTGGTACTTACAATCTTTAGGATCATGATCATGAGTTAAAAGCAAATGTTGAGAAATTCGTTGATAACTAATCAATTGGGTTCGAAAACTTCGAGAGGCCAAAACCGAGTAGTCATGTAACAGGCCAAAGGTGTCCATGTCAGAACGTTGATTCGAGGCTGCCCATCATAAGAGATTCGACGTTGTAATGCGTCTTCTTGGGCCTGTTGCGCCATACGAGCTCGAACCGCCAGTTGAACAACAACCCATAGCGGAAGGACGTGCATTGGGTCATTTGGGCGGGATCGGAATAACCCCTTCCGAGATAGACGCTGGAAGGTCCTAACGATACATAGAAGGATTGAGCAAAAAATCAGACGAGAAACATAAACACCCAAACATGATGATGCAAGTTGAACTTACATGTGCAAGATAGAAGCAATGCTCTATTTCCAAACGGGCGCTACGGTGATGGAAGATGAATGAGTATCAGGAAGAAAGTTGTGGAGGAGGCTCAGTAGAGCTCCGTCTGAAAGTTGGTCAAAAGGTTTCGGGTCTGTGAGCAACTGACGGGAGTACAGTCAGCTGCGGGGTCAATCCGGGTCAACGGGGCAACGGGATATGCAAAATCTCTGTGATACCTCCCGTTGAAATATCCTCGGACAACTTCCATAGTATTCATGCGCTTATTCAGGTGGCGAAATCCTTCGTCCGTCAAAACGTCGCCCAGTCCCTATTGATATAGTGAAAGAGGAAGGAACTAGGATTGTTGCCTTGCATCGAAGTTGAACAAACGACAAAAGAAGACTAAATAGAAAGTCAACTTAAAAAAAAAGATACAAGGAACTCATCAGATCTCAAATCGACGATTCAGTTTTAAACAGTCGAATATATAGAAAAGCTTGTGGAAGCAACACTAGTCAAGATCATTCAGTCGTGCTTTGATCATCTATGGAACTAAATTTGATAACGTCATCATCACACATGTTGGAGCTCGTTGGAGTTCATGAGTCATGACTTCTTGGGTTTGATCGGCTGAGTTGGTAAGCTGCAACAGGCTTCTTTATTAGGAGTCTGGGTTGCTTATGACTTCTTGGTGGTAGGATTACTATTACTATAGCCAGAAGTTTCAAAAAGAAGGTTTCTTTACTGGAGGGAAGTAGAAAGAACTGTGAAAGCCATAATGAATAATATCAGTTCACTAGAATTCACTTGTAGTTGATGATCTTGCATCGGATTCTTTTACTTTTACAGCTAAATCTTCTGATATACTCTTCATGATGATATTGATCAGGAAAGTTACACCACCGGGGGCTCGTGACTGTCCAGAGGCGGTCACGGACGCCCGCCCCCAGGCGGTCACCCCCTCCGCGAAGCAGGGCGGTCATCGGGTGGTCAGTGAGTTGACCGCCCATGGGTGACCTCCAGGCGCGCCAGCCACTTGAGCGATACCCAGCGTGCCACCGCCCATTGATTGTGTGCTCCCCGGTAGAAGGCCGTCGGGGTGCTCGTTCGGCCGGCGTCAGGCCGCCAAGGGTGTTTCCCAATGCAGCCGACAGGATTCAATTCTCGCATTGGGGGCAGACGGACTGGGGTACTGGGTGGTTCGCAATGATGAGAGTTACGCTGGCTGGAGGCATGAAAGCCTGTGCATTCCGCAGATTTTGTTCCCAAACACGTACGGGATGTACAGACAAGTTGTAATATATCATATAATGGAAGTAGAAATTTTGTTGAAGCGAGCTCGTTTCCTATCAACAAGAGTGAAATAATGAGATGAAAACGCGGAAAACAAGTGCATCCTCTCGCTATGGCTATGAAGTACTCGGTCAATCATCCAGAGCCATAGGGCCCGCTCCTTCCAAAACCTGCATTTTTTCCCTGATCTCCTCATCAGACGGTAAGTCAAAAGTGACCCCTACGTCAACGTCTACAAAGTACCCTTTCCCATCAAAAGTGGCGCGATCTTTGTCGTAAATGATCTTGTAGAACCTGGATAAACAATATACACCTCCAAGTTTTGATCAGCGTGCATCTTGCGCATCAGTCCGCATATAAAAAACTTACGCGGAAGCATACAAAGGCTCCTCCTGTGCCAATAGGTGCAGCTGGCTGTCCACTCGGTGCCAGATATTGGCTGTGCCCCCGCCGGCTCGAACTGATTGAAAGATGCGAATCGCCTCACGTCGCTAGTGTCAGAACCATCAAATTGTCGTCAGTGATGACAACGAGATGATCACCGCGGAAAACAAAAGGTGCTTACGAGGTACGCGATACGGACTTGTTGAGTCCACGCCGTTTGAGCCCACAAGGTATCCACATCGCGATGTTCTTCGGTCCTATTGCAATGTTTCGCAATCTGAACAAGGGGTGCTTGCGTCAGTAGTGTGTTGAAAGAAAAATGATAAAAACAAAGCACCCAATTGGAAACACCCCAGTCACTTACTCGATGAGCAAGCCTCTTCAAGCTGGGGACCGTGCTGCCCTCGTTTTTGCGAATGTTATGCAACACCTGTTGCATAACATCTGTCAGTAACTTCGACAGGACAATGAGACAGGAAGAGTGAGAGGACTCACTTCTTTGTGGAGACGTTCACGGGCGTGTTTACCCGCGTCCTTCACCAGTGTCGTGTACCGTTGGGTGGCCGCAACATCTTGAATGCCATTGACCACCGGGGGCAGTTGAGGAGTCGCCCAATCGCCAGGAATCTCTCTAATCTTTCTCTGTAGGTGTGATGTCAGAGCGCGAGAGTAGGGCCAAAGAGTGATAGTAGTTTGCTTACCTTGATGGTGTTAAAGAGGGAGTGAACTATCACGTCACCATTTGGTGACTCGAGTGCCGTATAACTGGCGATCTCGGCCAGTGACACACAGTCATAGGCGAAATGATACACCCGATCCTGTTTTGAAAGATAGGCATCACCATCAATGACACACAAAACGGTAATCAATTGAGAAGGGGTAAGCTTACTTTGACCTCGTTGGAGTAATTCCAAGGTTCCGGCGCGCTTGGTGGGCCAGGCAAGGTGTTTGATGCCGCAGGTGGCTGAACAACCACTGGGCCATTTGCCCGTAGTGCATCCACCGCATCAGTGGCTTGGTCAAGCTTATTTGACACAGTGATAAACTTTTGGTCAAGCTTGTCTGACACAGACGCGAGATCCTCATCAACCTTATTGGTGAGGGTTGCGATCTCTTCCTCGACGCGGAGAGCCATAGTCGAGAGCTCCTGGTGGATGTGGTCAGACAGCACTATCATCTCGCGCTCGACTTTTGAGATCGCTGCCAAGATTCGATCGGTAGCTGCCCCATCACGGGAACCGGCGTCGTTTCCAAGCTGTTAACGGGAGTACGGATATCAGTAGAAGCAGCCGATGGGGCGGCACACGACATTGGTTTGAGGGCGAGATCGGTTGAGACTTACACCCTCATTGGTCCCCCCATTGAGGCCACGTTGGGCACGCGCGAGTGCCGTAGCGCCTAAAGAGGGAGTTCCTTGAGGCACGGGTCATTTCCAAAACAATCAAGAACGGAAAGGAATGGTTACGGAAGGCTTACTGGGAACCCTTGGGGTCGATAGGGAGTACGGTTGGGCACGGGATGTTTGAGAAGACATGCTGCAAACTAAACGATGTTCGATTATGGAGCCGTAGAAAGTGGATAATTTGAAAGTGAGTCTTAGATGACTTTCGAAATACAGAGGAAGAGAGAGCAGTTGAGGCGAGTGCAATTGTTGAACTCGCTCAAAAATCAATGAGGTGTTTTAAAGGAGAATTAAAGGTGAAGCTGTCTAAGAAGGACAACGGCGCGGCACCTGGCTCACGCGTCAAACCAGGGGTGAAGACCCCGGCTTGAAGCTGATTGGTCGACGGCCCAGGGGGCCCTCGCGCTGGTCCACACGCGAGCCTGCTCCAAGATTATTTCCTTGAAAGGAAATAATCTTGGAGCAGACCAAAGGAATTTTGCAAAAACATTCAAACACAATGTTTTGCAAAGTGCTCAGTGGCATTGGCACGCGGAAGAACAAGATTGCATTGCAAGTTGGAACTTTTCAAGAGCAAACCGATCAATCGGATGCTGATTCTGAGTCTAATTCAGCCGGTGTCTGTTTTCCCTTCCCTTTAGGTACCCTCTTTTTCCGTGGTTTCACCGGGACAGATCGCCAAATGTGTAAACCTTGTTTCAGGGCTTCCAACCACTCAGCAGCAGTCTGCCTTCGAGTGCCCAAGTTCGCCACCTCGCGATGTACCTCAGCCGAGTAATGGCTTGCACTGTTGAGGATATAGTGGTCCGTTTGTTGATGGCTGACACTACTGACTGAGGTAGTGGTATCTTTCCTTTCGAGCCTTTGTTTGTGTCCATCAATTACTGAGCACAACGAGCGATGGCAGTTATGTTGTACGTTTAACAGACAGGCAATGTCCTGCGGACACACGGTCAGTGAGAACTCCCAAAACACTGGCAGGATGGAGACCCAAAGACTGACTGATAATTTCACCCATACTTGATGTTGTGTCCTGACAAGTTCGCGCATCCCATAAAAAGGCGATATCGGTCCCTTTTGAATGTCTTGCAGGAGAATGACGGTTGAGCTGGCGCTTACTCCTTCCGGTTTCCACATGGCCACGACTTGCCCCACGGAGTGACCTCGCGCATTCTTTGGACAGTGTCCCTGTTAGTGTGTTGTTGAAACAGGTGGCGAGAAGGAAGACTATCTAACCTTAACAAAGTCTTTCTTCTCGACCACTTGTCCGTTGCGCAATGTGACAGATGAGTGTTGTAGCCACACCACCCCGGGCGCTTCGCTAAGCAGATACACAGGCACTTGCTCGTGTTCTGCCCTTTCATGACGCGCTGCAAGAGATTCAAGGTCAGTGGCAGCCGATGTAAGTGAAAGACTCCATACTTACGTCCCACCGCGAACACAGACACCCAATCGAGTTTGGGATTGAGTCCAAACGCCTGAGATACTTCCGGCATGGTCTTCAGAAGTCCTTGCACTTTGGGACCTGCTGAAACCCGAGCTTGGAGCTCTTTGTCGACAAAGCTGTTCCCTGAAAGGAGAGCTCGCATGAGTTGATAATTATTGAAGGTGTTTGCGATATCTCGACCGGGGCTCATGCGGTTTGAATGGACTGAAGCGGCACGTAGAACCGCATTGTAACTCTCGAATTTCTCGGTCATGAATAATGACGGCGGTCCAAATCGTGCGATGGAGTCTTTCAAGTGCGTCAACATATGGAACTTGGGCTTGTTAACCCACTGAGCCGAAGTCATAATAAGCTGATAGTAAAAAACTAGAATCGCCTCTTCCATGTCTTGCAGGTAATTATCCATATGCACAATTTCGGTCTGGAAAACATGAGATCCTAGAAGGCACAACGATGTCCAAAGGTGCCGTTTGTTGCTGGGGATATGGTCAAATAATACAAAGGGGACTGTTTGAAGGACCGTCCGGAACTCCTTTCCGACGAGGCTCTGGTAAAAATTAATGAGAGTAGTTGGCTGTATAGGCGGGATCTTCAAACCCTTCGTGTTGAAATCCCTCCACCGCGCCGAGAGTTCGCGGTAACGTGATGAGCCGGGTTTCAGAATTCCGAGCGACTTCATAGTATCTCTGAAGAGGTATTTTGCAATACCCAGTAGAAGAACATGCAAAGTCTCAATGGGAGTATCCTGATGCCCATTGAAACCTGTGATGACTCGGTCAGACAGGATGTTCGTACACATGGAAGATATTGAACACCGTGAACAAACCTTTTAACCTCAACATGGGGTTAAACAACCGCTCGCCCAGTTGGTCATTCAAACCTTCACAAAGCTGGTGCACATCACAGGTCTCAGGCGAGTCGTAAGCCAGGTGAACCTTTTTGATGAAGTAATCGAGCACCGAATCGCGAAATCCGTACTTTCGAGCTTCACTCTCAACCGCGGTTTTGCTGTGCGGCATCTGTGCCATTGCCCAGATGTCGTGAGCGCGAGCGCGAGTGACCTCCCAATCCCTTTGGGGCAAAGAGAACTGCAGTTGCCGCGACTGATTCGTCAGTCACATGTGTGTGTAAGAAGCAGGGTGACATAGAGAACCAGCGAAATGACCAACCTGTTCGCCATCTAAATCGACGCCGATGAAATCAGAAACGTACTGTTCTGTTTTCTTCTCAATCATCTGGCCAACTTGCAAGTCACATATGCGACACGGCGTTAAAGTATTAGCTGGATTGGTTGTATTGGTTGTATTGCTGATTTCAGCGTGCATCGGGGAATCGCCCAAGTGGAATAGAACCACGACCATAACCAGGACTTCACTACCACTGACGTGGTCGTAAGCAAAAAAACCGTTGGCACTGTGGTCACTGGGCCAAGAAAGAGCCAGAGGTCAAACTTGTTTATGAATCCACTGTTTGAAGAGGTAATTCAAGTAATGCTTACTTGATATCATCAACAGCCTCGTCCAGTAGTTCCAGCGCGGAGGCACAGTTCGAAGTGGCCAGGAAATGGATATTGTACTCCTGGTTGGTCATCCTTGGAGGTAGGCCGGCGAGGGTAAAAAAAACACTCATGTGTTTATTCCATTTCTTCCCGACATTCCCGGAAGTATCGTCAGAGTACAAGCTGATTGGGATGTGCTTGATGACACGACCTTGGGCTTGCTCACGCCAAGGATTGGTCATCGGTAAAGGCCGATGCCCGATTGGCGAGTCTTCTAAATGAAAGACATCATCAGGCCGGACGTTAAAGGCCACCACACAAACATAACATAACATGGTTAAAAAAGGGCCCACGAGATATATGACCCCCACAGCAATCAGCAAGGGCCGTGCCGTCTTCTAAGATGATGTTGGCGGTTCCTCGCCAGAAATCCTTCACATCAATTGTTTGGAAATCCATCGAGTCAAAACAAGGTTCGGCCGGGATGCACAACTTGAGCAGTAATGGGTGTTCTGGATCCTCTTGAACGCTCGCCGGGAGGCATTTGGCCAGGGTCTTTCCATGTTGCTGATAAAAAAACGCCGGCACTACAACCGCTTGCGAAACGGTTTGCACTGGTTTGTATATGAACCAGTGTTTGCCACGTGATACCACCATTGGCACCCGCATGTCTCGGGAGAACCCTTCGCGCCATTTTTGCGACTGAGACAACCGGTTGATGGGATCTAGCGTGGTGTTTGTCGGCAACTCGGGCAGAACAACCAGGTGCGGGCTTACCAAAGGATTGGCAAGTTCCTGCAACACCAAAGCGTTGGGTGTCAATGTGACCATCAACGCTCATGAAGAAGAGTAAACGGACGGAGGACCCACATTACTGACAATTGTCTGAACTTTCAACCCAAATACCGGGGTGCCGTGAGGACTGATCCGCTCGGAGACCCGCAGACCAAGATTGTTCTTTAGCTTTTTACTTAAAGCACGTAATGCCCCCCATTCAGGAAGACGAACAAGGCATATCTGGAGAATTGAACGGATTCGGTGGTATTGGGAGCGTGATAGGATGTTTCGAGTAGATCCAATAATCAATAACCCTACGAGGTGCTTTGGTGGAGAATGAATAATTGGATGAACGTGTTATATACAGAATTATTTTGTCGAACACGAAGACATCAGGATAAAGAATTGCGAGCTAGCTGACCTCTTTCTTCTTAAACGGGTACCATTGGGAAGCCTCTTCCACAGGCATCGTGGACGTGCGCAAATCCGCTTCCAGGGCGGCCGCATCAATTGCCTCGTCGCCCTCTTCACCCCACATATCTTCTTCCATGACCCTAAAAGCCTCAGCAAGCTTTTGAAGGTCAACTTCTCCATCGGAGTCATCTGAATCGGAAATCTGACGCTCCTCCGCCATTGCGAGAGCGTGAAGCGCAGTGAAAGGAGAGGGAGCCCTTTCTGGAGTATCGGAGCGAGAGGTGATTTCATCAAAGATGTTATCTTGGACAGGAGCGGGCGAGATGGCACCGGGTGGGTCTGGCTCTTGGAGGCCAGGCATCATCATGTTTTCAGCAGCTTGACGAGCGTTGTAGCGCGCCACAGCTTCCAGGTGTTTCGCCGAGTGTGAGTGGGGGCCATAGTCTTCCATGCCCTTCCGTCCGCACACTAAACACTTCCAGTTGGACACAGAGGGCACTTTTGAGAGCTGTTGGAAATCTGCAATTTTTTGAGAGATGTCACCACCCCACACACTCAAAAGCAGTTCGAATCAACAAAAACATACATGGGTTAGGAGGATGATTGTGAGCCATTTCGAGAGGCGCGGTCAACGTGAGGTTGCTTGTGTGAGTTGATTTGGGTGGGAAGTTGGGATTCTTGGCTGACGACAAACAAACGTGGGTCAGGGCATATCAACATGGATTATGTTGAGAAAAATAGTCGATGAACGAACACAATTGGCCAGAAGAGAGGAAATGGTGCAGGAAATTTCGGTGGAATTGGGTGCGTGCGTGTTTCAAAAATCAAACGGACACGGTTTAAGAAAAACAACAATGATCTTACCGCCCGGGGTCAGTTGCTTGACTGGATGAGAAATGCCATCGAACCCCAAGGAGAAACCGGTGAGGTCCACTCTGCTGCCGAGAGGCTGTGTTACTCTGACTCGAGGTGCGTGTCAAGGTTGTAATAGAAGGCTTTCGTGCTGAGGCGTTTCAGCCGTTTCATCTGGCTGCATCATGCTCCAAACGCATCTTTCATGCGTGGCTGATCACAATGTGATTGTTTGGACGTGATCTCATGCTTTCTTCTGCGATGTGACCTTGACATGCGTTTTGTTTCGAGAGATGTCTCAGGGTGTGCGTGTTGATCTCAACACCTTGTTGTTTGGTATACTCAACAACTTCCCACACACTGACTCCTTGCGCGCAGTGGGAGGAAACCCAAAGGAAACTACTTTTTGTATAATACAAACACGATGTTTGGAAAGAACAAACACCCACCCTGAGATTCCTTCCTCTGGTGTTTGGGATCTATCGCCAAGGCCCCCCCCCTCGGCCAGAAGGCGGCCGGTGGGCTGGATCGCGAACATTGGGGCAGCAGGTGGATGCGGGGCGACCCATGGGCGGCCCCCGGCGAGGCGCCACGCTGCATTTTGGCCAGGGGGGCATCGGAGGGGCCGACCGTGCCAGGGCATGCCTGGGGCGACCACTGCCTGGCCAGCAGGCGAGAGTAGGGCCAGCACTTGACCCGACCATGTGCAGACCAAGGTCGGGACTCAAAGTACCCCCGTGGTGTAGAGCATCCACAGTGGTGGGCTCCAAATCGGGGCTCCAAATCGAGCGAATTCAAATTTGGTGGGGCCCCAAATCAATCCGGATGCAGTCGTTCGGACTTCAAAAGTGTAGATTCTATGTGTTTACACACACTTTGAGATTGGTACGCGTGGGCTTACATGTGTGAGGTATGGGATTGAACAAGTGCGGGAATTTGGAGCCCGGCTTTTTGTTGCCAAATATGTAGCCCAAAGCTCGAAATTTGAAGCCGGCTACAAAAAATTTGGCGATGGGGACTGCCATTGCACCAAAAAATCGGTGCTCAGTCACCAAATTTGGCGATAGCCCCGATTTGGAGCCCACCACTGTGGATGCTCTTAGGAGCTTTTGTAGTGGTTTTTGCTCGCCAGAGTGGTTCCATTTTTAGGAGTCTCACATTTCTAGGTGGGTTATTATTTTCTCTTTTTATTTATTTCTTAAATTTTCTAGGTTCTCCTTCTTATCATTGTTATTTCGTAACTTACATGTTTCACTGCTACCATACCAAATTACCGTGATGCTCTAAAACTTAACTTATTAAGTCTCATAGCGTGTGTGGGGGGGGGCCGACAGGCCGCCGGTGCTTTGGTGTAGTAGGCTCTCTGCGAGGCAGGGTGCAGGGGCGGGCGGGAGGACAAAAGAAAATTTTTCGAACGAAATGATGAGACTTTTTTCCTATCGTTTCGTTAGTGTTATTGTTTAGCTTGAGTGAGTGAGCAAATTTCGTTAAAGGTCAATTACCCTTTAGCAATAATTTTTGGGTTTGTCTCCGTTGGGGGAAATTCATTTCCCCATTCTCTCTCGGTACCCGGGTCTTCTTTCGGGTACCAAGTTGACCCGATCCATGTGTTCCCCATTCCTTCACATGGAACTATACAGATGCCGTCGTGCCTTTGGGCATCTGTAACATTCCATTTTTAGGAGTCTCACATTTCTAGGTGGGTTATTATTTTCTCTTTTTATTTATTTCTTAAATTTTCTAGGTTTTCCTTCTTATCATTGTTATTTCGTAACTTACATGTTTCACTGCTACCATACCAAATTACCGTGATGCTCTAAAACTTAACTTATTAAGTCTCATAGCGTGTGTGGGGGGGGCCGACAGGCCGCCGGTGCTTTGGTGTAGTAGGCTCTCTGCTACCTACTCTCGGGACGTATCGTCCGGAGCCTGCGGAGAGCCTACTCGGTATGTCCCGAGGCTAGCCTGTATCTCATCTCTTGGCCCCCGAAACTCAATTCCCCTCATCACTGCCTTATCTCTTATTTTTTTTTTTTTTCGGCAATTAACTCTCGCTCTCTCTCTATTCTCAGATCTCTCATTGGCTCAACATGTATTGATCTTTCCACTCTCGTCTCATCCCCTAGGGATTCTACAACATTTTGTTTTGAGTTTCTTCCTCCTTTTCACCTAACAACTTTGAATCTTTCTTCACATCTGTCATACACCATCCTCTCCGTGTTCATCTTCTCCTGTGTCCGCTTGTCCGCTTTCTTCCTCTCCGATCTTCATCCAATCCCATATCAACTTCGCATCTTCTACATCACCCTTTGTATACTTTCGAAGATATCTCTGGTACGCTTTTGATTCCCAGCGACCTGCCTTTACGATATCCTCTAACGGTAAGTTCTTGTTCCATTTTAATGTCGCTCCGCCTATCCTAAATGAATGGCCCGACAGGTGATGATGTTTATCTGATTTATTCCATACTCTCTTGTAGATGTTCAACACGACCGTCTTTGTCAGTGTCACTCTCCTTCCTTTCCCATCAACATACGACAACAACCTATCTGCTAGATCGTGACCCGGGTTTTCCTTAAACACTCTTTCTAATGCTCGGACTGGACATAAGTGTGAAGGGATCCGTCTTACATGTAAGTATTGTATTGCTCCTGCTTTTGCTGTCTTCGCGTTGTGTAACCCAAGTTTAAAATAAGAATGGTCTGGTGCGTAAATTAGGTCTCTCTTCAAAATGATGGCCTTTGTCTTATCGTCCGACACTAATTCGCCTAACCTCGCCATTCCCCAGAAAGCAATCAGTGCTATAGCTAAAGCTAAGTGATCTCTCTTATTTCCTTTATCCAGTTCCAAAACTAACTCTGCTAAATGTCTTAATTGTACTGGTTGTCTAATCATCTTAGCATCCTCGTTACATTTTGCATCTGCTAAAGCTGCTGCCCTCAATAGTAACTTCGATGTTTGATTGTTCTCGTTTGGGAATGGTTCACCGTGGAACAAGTGCCATGATCGTATCCCGGTCACGTATTTCAATAAAGTCGTCGCCGTCACTTTATGTTTCTCGTTAGACAGGTTCAACTCTTCTTCGTCATCAAGGTTCACCTTATACCCCTTTCCTCCCCAAACGATGAATCTCCACAAGAGCTGTTGACCTAAAGGTAACAAGTCTTTCCTTTCTATCTTCTCCGCTGCTCCAAAACTTTCTAACTTCGACATTGCCGTGCTATAATTCTGTAGGGTTGACTGGGACCAGCTACCACTCAGTAGTCTTTCTTTAACCACGTTCATTCTCCAATCGATCACCCTATTGGATTTCACAACAATCAAAGTAGTTTACAAGGAGTAACCATACCCATACGTTAGCTCGAAGTCGTGTTCAAATTCACATTCTCTATCTAGTATGGTTACCTGAAACACTTACCCATCTCTATTTTTAAGGAAATTCTTAATTCTTTTCTTGTTGTTCATTTTGTCTTCAGATTCGTATCAGCAAACCGACCAGGTCTCTTGGTAAGTTTATTCTGACTTCTTTGTCAATGTCTTTATTCTTTTCTAGCCCTCTCGAGAGTTTATCTGCTTTATCTGATCCTGACGTCACCCTTCGCGCTAAAATCGAGCAGCTTAGTCGTACGAGTACTTTCTGAATGGACTTCCACTCTTCGTTTACAAGGCAATGTCTCGATTTCTTTTTGGTGATTGCAGATTCAGTTGTGGTGTTATCGGTGTACACAATGAAGTTTTGGTTAACCGTTGTCATAAGTTGTTCGATCATTAGTAAGCCAATCCTTACAGCCACCGTCTCCATCCAGCCTATGTCACGTTTCTTACTTCCTTGTGACATGTCTTTCGTCTTCCAGTTGTCTGCCAGTGTGAAACTTGCCCACCTGTCACCTATTAGCACGCCTATACCATAGCTCGTACTAGCATCTCCTACCCAGTTGATTTCTACCGGTTCGACTTCCTTTTTAAGTTTCATCCTGTCGAAGGTTTCTAAACTATGTAGCCATTCTCTTAATTCGGCCTTCGCCCCGTCTGGGACTTCTCTCACTGCACTCTGATTATACCATGATTTCTCCCAAAAATATAAGTTCCAAAGGTAACATTTCATCAGCGGTAAGATATAGATCAAATGACTCAATTGTCCTACGATTTTCTCCACCTCTTTCTTTGAGCATTTCCTCCCTGGTTCAAGTAAGTCTTTGATTTTCAAAATTCTTTCTTCTAATTTCTTGTCAGGTAATCGGACTGATTTATCTTTTCCATTCCAAATGAACCCTAGATACTTTTGTTTGACGTTCCAGTCGGCAAACTTCTCCCCGTTTGATTGGACACCTAGTCCATTGCTAACTTGTATCACGTCAGCCATGTTGAGGGACTCGTCTTCGAACTTTACAAACATGTTGTCGTCCACCCAACGGAAGATTTCGTTTACCCTCAGCACGGATTTTATGATATCTTTCCACGCGTCAGCCATCCAACCAAAGGTACCGCATCCCGCCACTCCACCAAACGGGATCCGTGTGTCTACCCAAATGTTGCCGTTGAAGTCTTTAATGGTCAAATACTTCCATTGGTGAGCCGGCGTTGACCCTTGTCTGTAAGCTTTCTTCCAGTCTACTATTGCTAACAAGATGGTCTGCCCGATATGGAGGATAAAGTACTCCGCTACTTTATTAAAATCATCCCAAGACGTTTCAAAGTCTTTCTTGTCTACGAAAGAATTTACTGAAGGTATGTCTTCCTCGTCTGACGTGTACCTAGCCGATTCTATCCATTTCATAGCTTTGTCGGTGCGTACATCCTCTTCATCTTCTGTTTCTGATTCTTGATCCGACTCTGAGCTCATCTTCCTCTTCTTTGGTCCTACTATCTTCGTCCTAGGGTACGAAAGATCATTTATCATTCGTAGCGAGCCGTCGTTATTTGTCACGCTCCCCATCGGATTGGACCGGAAGAAGCCAAATCTTCTGTGTACTTTGTCATGAGTAAAGGGTCCGTAAATCCGTCCTAACTTCTTTTCTTTCCACAAGTTTTTCATTATCTTGTCCTTTACTGCTAAGGCCGACTTATGGTTATCGGGCGTAAACCATTTGTGTCCTTTCCAGTCGTGTTGTGGGATGCCTTGGTTGAATCCCTCGGTTAATCCAACCCAAACTTTCTTCCACTTATCAGTAAGTCCACAGTCTTTCAACAGCAGTCTCCACTCTTCTAAGTTCATTTCATTCTTCACCTGTTTTGGCCAGTTCGCGAGGGATTCAACTGTGTCTACCTCATTCCCGTCTTTCTCTTTCTCAATTACCTCATTTGACGGTTTTCTTTGGTCATTGGTTGTCGTTTGGTCTCGTTTATTCACACCTTGTGTATTCTGGTAATCATTGTGCACTTTTTCATTGCTGCACGCATACAACATCACACAAACAAGCCAAAGAGCAACACACAAGATCGAAGAGAGACACAAAATCAGCTAAGTGAATCAACATTGCGACTATCTGGTTCGACTACCACTACAATGTTGCAGCCGTTACATGGATATTTTTTTGATAAAGAGGGAAACAGTGAGAAGAATCATGAACAACAACAGTTTTATTCTTAATAAAGTAAGATTTATTTCTGCTAGGTCTATCGCCTACTGTCATTCCCTCAACTCACATTTGACCTGTGGTTGACGTTCCTACATTTCCATCTGCACTCTTACTTCCAGCGACTGCAAGCGATTTGTCAAAGCTTCCTGGACCAATTGATGGACGTGCACTTCCACCTCGATTTGAAGGTCCACCTCTCGAACCTCGACTTGAGCCTCCTCTACTCGGTCCTCTTCCTCCACCGCCTCCGCCCCTCACTCCATACATATTCACCGGGTTTTGATTGTGATACGCTGGTTGGGCACTATAATAAGGTTGATTTTGATAAGGATGGTTGGAATAGTCTGTATGAATCGCATACGGAGCCGGTGTGTAGGGGTTCTGTCGTGAGTAGTACGGGTTAAATCGTGTCCCTTTGTACCTCACCGCTTTCCCGTTTGCTAAAACTGGTAAAGAAGAACTGATCCCTTGGTTCGTCGGTTGAGGTCCGGTTGCAGATAAATTTCGGCCAGTTAACATTTTGGCTTGGGTATCAATGAGTGCATTAGATGAGTCCCATGATGCGTTCGCGGGGTACGTTTCTCCATTTATTGGACTTATGTGCTGCATTACATTTCCGAATGCATATGGATTATCGGTGTAATTATAATCATTGAAGTGTTTGGCATCTTCCTTTGCTCTTTCCGCCAATTCAACGTTTAAGGTACCGACGTCTGCCATTGAGCCATCCAACAACCGATTCTCCCAGACATTACGACGATGTGCAATATCGTACCTCATCGCTGGAGTCCACTTCCCATAACACTTGATTTGAATTTGAAGTACATTTTCCTTATGTGCTCGTAATCTTGGATCAATTGGTGAGTCTTTCTGACTCTCTAATATGTCGTACTTTTCTTCTTGGTATTTAACCATTAGATTAAAACATGTTGACCATTTGTTTGATGTCAATCGATATTCGTTTATGTATGGAAGGCCTACATAAGATATCACATTGGTCAAACAACTTGTTTTGGTGGACCGTGTCTTCATAAAAAGGGAGTCTTGTAAGATCCAAGTAGGATCGAAGATTGAGACAGGCATATGTATGTTCTTATTTATCATAATATCGTGGAAATATTGTGATAAACCAGTCATGTTATTCGTAGGTAAACTACCAATTACCATCTTGGTGTTCGTCTCAATTTTTGTCTTTGACTTTTCTTTTGAGCTTTCTACCGCTTTCTCAGTATCTTTCTTTTTCTCTTTGAAGGTAAAGTTCATGATATCGATTTCTCTAGGTTCAGTCTCTTCGTTTTGGCACCAAAACTGATACTCTTCCCTAAATATTCGATATTGGTTTCTAATTTACCATCTCTGTGTCAGTCTTCTGTCTTCCTTTTACATTAACATTCACGATCTCTTACATCATATCCCTTTCAAAGGCCTCTTTAATATTGAATAACCACTTCGCATGCCGATGTTCTATGTGAACAGGTTCGGCCATGTTTTCAATGTCAGGACCTGTTTTTTTTTTGTTTTTTTTTGAACAAACAAGCCACACGTAAGCACCTAATCTCTTTCTTTCTTTTTTTTTTTGGACAAATGAGGATTATAAAGATTGGGATTTTTTTTTTAAGGTATCATTTTCTCTAATTAATATTTTCTCAATCAGGCCACACTTGAGTTAACTAGGCCACACTGGATTCAATCAGGCCACACTTGACGGATCATAATCTGGCCACACTGGGATAATCTTTGTTTAATTCTTGTTATCTGACCCGTATCTTTTTTTTTTTTTTTGGAGTATAATCAGGACAAATAATAGATGGAACAAGGGGGGGGGAACGGTTGGCGGGTGATTGATTTGAAAGTAGGAGAAAGGGAGATTCAAGTGGGATGAAATGGGTATGTTCTTTAACCTGACTCTTTTTTTTTTTTTTTTAATTTCTTTACGACGAGTGGAAGTGTGGTGAATAGAGAAAAGGGTTTTGTTATAAAGGGGGAGAAATTGTATCACTAACCAAGTCCTGTTATGTTTGCAACAATTCCTGTTCTATTCTCATCTTCATCTAGATTATCTTCAGCGACTTGATTGTCCCCAGCCTTTCCAACCTCAACATCTTGTCTACCTTGAGTATTACCAGTAACATCACCTGGGTCTCCGCTTGTTTGATCACCTTTCTGTCCATTGCCATCTTCTTTTTGTGGGTCACTTCCTCCTTCGTTTATCGCTAACAATGATTCGTTCTTCTTACCGCTTCTTGTTCTCGATTTGGAAGTTTCAGATTGGTTCGGAGTCGCCGTGCGTGGAGGTAGTCCTTCAGGGAGGTTAGGTGTTGACATTTTGGTTTCTGGTTTTTTTTTTTTCAAGTAGTTTGTTTTTCTTTTGTTTCTTGATGATTAATTTTTATATCAATTATTTAATAAAGTTAGATAAGATAGTATCTGATTTATGAATTCTTGACAAAAGAAAATTTTTCGAACGAAATGATGAGACTTTTTTCCTATCGTTTCGTTAGTGTTATTGTTTAGCTTGAGTGAGTGAGCAAATTTCGTTAAAGGTCAATTACCCTTTAGCGATAATTTTTGGGTTTGTCTCCGTTGGGGGAAATTCATTTCCCCATTCTCTCTCGGTACCCGGGTCTTCTTTCGGGTACCGAGTTGACCCGATCCATGTGTTCCCCATTCCTTCACATGGAACTATACAGATGCCGTCGTGCCTTTGGGCATCTGTAACATTCACACATACCAAGGTTTGGCAAGGGTGCCAGCTTGACAATGATAATGTGAGGTGAATTTACTACATACTATACTTTAGGACAAGTAGTGCACTGTCAGGGGTAAGACTTGTTTGACAGAGTTATTGTCGTATAACTGACTCACAGGCTACAGGTGAATTGATAAATACATTGAAGGATTAATAAAGCATTCAAGTCAAGCAAAATGAAGATTGATCTGTAAATTAGTTGATCAAATTCAAAATATAACAAAACCATAAAAGATGAACGAAGAAAACGGAGGGTTTTTTTATTTCTCTCTCAAAAAGACCAAAAAAATAAGAAACAGAAAATACAAACAAATAAACAGAAAAAAAACTTTTCTTTTTATTGTGATTGTTAAGAATTGCTTAAAGAAGTTTTATTTATTTATTTATCAACTATATATCACACACAGATTTTTTGTCTTGTTATCTAGCTATATCTAGTTTAAAGAATTAGATCAGTCTGATCTCAGTGCTAATCAATCAATTCTAACTATGAATTCTTCTTGGTTTTAAGAGCTTCAATTTAATTCAATAAATTCAACACATAGTTCAGAAGAAGAAGAAGGTAACGAGAAAATCTAAGAAGAGATCAATTCCCAATTTATCCTTCCCTACGTTGTTTTCTTGCTCGTTTGCTTTCTAATTCATGCCATTCACCTTTCAAACTTGACAGTCTAAAGATTTTCATCATCCCCCCCAAAAAAAATATTAGAAAAAGCAACTTTAGGGTGAATCGGGTGATCAGAGAAAAGAAAACGTACAGTTTTGTAGGTAATTCCATGACAGGTTCTTCATGTAAAAAATAATCAAATTTCATTGCATCTTTAGCCGAAGGTCTTCTCATCGGATTCATTTCTAACAAAGCTTCAGCTAAGAGCATTCCACCTTCACTTTTAATTACTTTTTCTTTTCCATCTTCATGATTTTCAAAAAACGTCCTTCTTAATTTCGATTCACATTCGATTTTAGGTTTAACTAATTCATACCAAGGTAAGTTGATGACTTCTGGCCAATTCGATTTAGATGGAGTTCCCATCAATTTAAATGTTGCTTGTAATTGATCTATTTCATCATTTGCTTGAAAGATTGGTCTACGAGTAAAAAGTTCTAAAAAGATTGCACTTTGATTTGAATTGAAAAGGAACAATTCTGATCAGTTACCCGATTTTTTCTCAACACATCAATCAAAAGTTAAATTCATTAAAAGAGGGGATTTTGAATTCTTACCCAGCACTCCACATATCAACTTCTTCACCATAAACAGTAGCACCAAAAAGTAATTCAGGTGGTTTATACCAAAGAGTGATCACTCGATTAGTATAATCTCTACCTCTACCTCTACCTTCCTGACCTGGTTCTTTACCTCTTTCATACCTTCTAGCCAATCCAAAATCCGCAATTTTAAGTTCACCTAATCGATTTAATAAAATATTACTACCTTTCAAATCTCGATGTAATACACCACCTTCATGCATATATCTTAATCCAGATAATAATTGCCACATTAATGATTTGATATTCGATTCGGAAAAGTGAATGTTAGGATGATGTAATAATCCACTTAAATCATGATCCATATATTCAAATACAATATAAACATGTCCTTTACTAACTACCATCTCAACTAAATTCACTATATTAGGATGTCTTAATCCTTGTAATAATTTAATCTCTCGAATGGCTGTGATTGGAAATCCATCTTTTTCTGCTTCCATTCTAATTCGTTTCATGGCCACTAATCTTCCGTTTTCTACATTTCTTGCTTTGTACACTTTTCCATATGTCCCTTCTCCTACTTGTACAATTCTTTCATATACATCTTTTGTAACTGGTCGGGATGGAACAGCTACTTGGGGTGTCGGCCATGACGAGGATCCGTTTTGTGGGTACGGTGCAGATGGATGAGGAGGAAAAGGAACACGCTGTGAAGCTGGATCGAAAAGTGGTTCGACAGATGCTTCTGGTGGATGTAATGCACTTCCAAAGATTTGCGATCCCGAAGCTGCATAGGCTGACGGAGAGGTTAAACAAGATGAGTTATGTGGCCTTGTTTCATCCCGTGAGGGTGAGGGTATGATTTGTTTACGCGGTTCGAGAGAGGCGCTCTCTGGCATCGACGGAACAGGGAGCGGAGGTGGTGGGGGTGGTGGATCCCATTCAGACCCTGAACGAGATAGTCTAGGATCTGAAGTGGGCCCATTGGTGTATCGGGGTGATGATTCTTGCTCGTGAGCCAAGGAGTGACTATCATTCCTACGTGATGACCAACGCGACGGTCTCTCTCGGTGAGTCGGATGATCATACTCATAGCGATGTCGACCCCTGTCAGAGAATTGCAGTCGTGGGTCTTGCGCCCGATAAGATGAGTAGGCACGCGGTTCTGTGGGTAGTGGAGGACTCTTCGAACGTCGTTTACCTGAGCGACGTGGATCAGGGCTTACGAAGCGGGCTGGGCTTGTACGAGCAGCTGGAGGTGGTGGTGGTGGTGGCGGTGGTGTTACTGGAAGAGGACTTTGAGGCACATCAGTCTTCATAGCCTGCTTCTCATTTTCGACCGGATGCCACAGCTTGCTAGGAGCTTCGATGGCTGCACCGTTCAGGTCATCGTCATCGTCATCATCACCCGGAAAAAAACGCCGGACTCCTGCACTTGTTTGAGCAACTGGAGCAACGGGGGGCATGCCGGGAGGTCTGAGTAAGGGGTTAACCATTGATTTGATGCGCCGCGGGGATGCTGGTCTTTTACCATTGGCAGTCGATGTTAGAGGTTGAGGCGGTGGTAATGGGGGCGGCGGCGGTGGTGGCGGCTGAGGAGTTGTAGGTCTGGGTGGGATGCGGATCGGTGCTTGAGGCTGATCGTTGACAGGATCTGAAGGTGCAGTTGAGCGAAGTGTCCGGGATGAATGATGACGTGCTCCGTTCGTAGACCAAGCTGCTTGACCAGATCTAGGTCCCTTTGGAACGTTTTGCATTTGGTCATCCCAGAGTCGAGTGTTATTGTAAGACTGACGAGGAGTACCATCAGATCCTTCCAATCCTTTTGGTTGTCGATCATTATCACTGACCAGATTATTTCCATAATTTGGATGCCCACGTCGGAAACTAAGGTCATTCTGAGCAAATCGAGGTCCGATAGGAGGCTTTGGAGGCATGGGAGGCGGGCCAAGTTCGGCTTCCAAAGAATCACGCTGCGAGATCTGCAAGCGAACGGGGGAAGCCGAGCTAGAAATGCGTTCACGGGAGGTGGATGAATGGCGTCGATGCGGCCTGGACGTAGATGACGACCTGGAGTGACGACTGCTGGGAGTGACGAGTGAATTGCGAGACTCGGGACGTCGGCCGCGCACATGATCGAGATCGCTTGAAGGGCTGTTTGATCGTGGCCTTGCTAGACGACCATCAGCAGCATTCCAATTCCTTGAACGGGCTGATCCGGAGGGGCTTGGATCACGTTTGGTGGAGCGGGATGGACCTTTGCATGGCCGGCCATCGATCGAAGACCTTGAAGAGGGAGAACGCAGTGTTGGCGTCGCAAGTCGGGAAGGTTTACGAGGTGGAATTGGGGGTTGAGATGATCGTGAGTGGTCTGAGGCCGGTGATTTCCCCCGAAAAGAGGGTTCGCGTGAGACAGATCGACGGGTCCTACGGGGAGGACGAGGCGGTTGAGGAGGCAGTGGAGAAGGTGAGCGTGGTCGTGAAGGTGACAAGGAATAGTGTGAGCGAGAATGCGATCGAGATCGAGGGCGAGGGGAGGTAGGAGTTCCTGTGCGAGATATTGACCTCGTCCGCGAACGGCTACGACTGGTTTCCCGTACATGATTAGTTGACCTTGTCCGAGAGCTGTATTGTTCCCTGTCGGTGGGGTCAAAAGATCAGGGTCAATAGGTGACTGAATGAGTGCAATATCAGACCGCAGACGCAGAGCAAGGCTCTAAATGGAAACCTCATGCCGAGCAATAATATGAATGCAAATGTCGCACAAGAAGAGAGTGCAGATTGTACAGCACCTCTTCTTCTTGAACAGATAATGAGATCTTGCTAATACGGATGACATGTACTGGTCTGCAGTGTACAGTAGAGGTCTTATTTCCCTTTGAAGATGAGCAAGTGAAAAAGCAATGCTTAACTCACTTGGACGAATCCAACTTCCTCTTTTTTCTCCTAACACCCTCAAGATCCTGTGTATCCAAATCATGGGACACTGGTTGTCTTCGTGGTGGAGAGCGGCTACGTGATCTACCATTGCGATGGCTAGTATGAGTTCTCTTGTTTTCGTAGGTGGAAGGCCTGAAATGTTCATATTTCTGACGAATATTTGACCTTTGATCATTCGAATGCATAGGTCTGAGATAGTTTCCTTTGCTTTGTCGTGAAGATTCGGTTCGGGAAGTAGACTGATGAGATTTGCTGCCATTCATTGGTTTCAATCTACCATTACCTCTACGGTTATCCCGCTCAGAATAATCTAGACGGCGTGATTCACGTTGATCTCGTTCATGTTCTTCCTGGTCTAAATCATAGTACTCAGGTTGCTGAGAACCAACCTCTTCAAACTGTTCTTCATCTCGCGAGTAAGCCCATCCATCCATCCGATCCTCTTCACGATGTCGATCACGATCTACAGGCCTTTCCCATTCTTGCCTTCTATCTCGAGTTCTTTCTCGACGTTGATCACCACGATCTGAATTTCTTTCAGAAGTTCGACTCCAATCTCGATGTGAAACTCTTTCATGATTCCTATCACGAGCACTATAATCTTCATGATCATATCTACGTTCACGATCACTTCTCTTGGCTTCAACATACTTGGAATCGCGAGAATTTTTGGCGGGTGAAATTGAGCGATTTGGACCTCTTCGTGGAGGAGAGCGATGGGTCAGACTGGTGTGTGGCAGACGTTTTTCTCTGGAAGGAGATCGATCTCGAGGACGAGAGCGGTCATAGTGCTTCCAACCCGACGCCATATGGGTGCGGGTAAGATTTTCGATGTGCCCTTTTTAATTGCGAGGAAGGGGTTCTGTGCAAACTGAACAGAAGGTCAGTGAGAATAAACTTGCGATGAGTGTGGTCAAAAGAGTCGAGCGTTGCAGGTCAACAAGGAACGAACGCTAGAATCAGAGACGACAGCCAAATCTCGGTTAGCCGAGATGGAAAATCGATAGGTGTTTTAATCTGAAGGTCGTAAAGGTGACTGATAGTTCAGAATCGATCGATTTAGGTTGACCAATTGATCATTAAGTATGATGGATGTTTGATTGATTGAAGTTATAGAAACCCAAGCGAGGGATGGGTGACCGTGACGAGAAGGAAGTAGGAAATTAGAAAACTTCAATACAACAACCACATCCAATCATACTTCATTTTACCAACTGTATAACACACCTCACCAGTTCTTCTCAAAACTACACTACATACTATCCAATCAAGCATCCTGAGCTCATATCGACATTTTAAGTTTGATTTGCTTTCAAGACTTGTTTTAGCTCACTTCAATGTGCGCGCAGTGAAAGAAAATCGGCCAATGAAGCAAAGAATTGAAGTCAGGTTGTAAGCAGACTCAAATGTCACGTGAGCTGTCAATTCCTTGACACCCAAACTGATCAAGGATTCATCTGGTATCGAAACCAGCTGAATTCGCTATCATGTTCCAAGATTGTATACATACACGGAGCAGAATTGCTGTCATTGGAGTGTCAGTGAAATTTGAAAAGGAATCGTGTATGCATCACACCTCATCACACACAACTTTCATGTTTCCATCAGTGAAGGGGAAGATTGAGGGAACATGTAGGATATGCTGATATGGGTGATCCGTCAAAACTTTCTCTTCAAAGCACAGGAACATCAGATGTATTACACCTTTGTGAGCTCCTGAAATCTTTATGACAGCCATTTGCTCAACTGCAGGGCGTCCGTTGGACAATCAAGTTACAAAAAGTCTGCAATGCTTTGAAACTAATGCTTCCCACCAGGATTGAGCATAGGAATGTCATGATTGAAGGCAAATTAAAATGCAAAAGACCATTTTGGCATTTAAATTTGAAGCCATCTGATACATAGCAACTTGCTTTAGCCCAGATGCCATTCAATTTTCAGTCTGTAGGAAAGTCTTCCTTCATGACGTTCTCATGAAGCTTAAGAATGGCAAGATATCCGATCCGAAGATCTGCAGTCTGTCTCCGAGATCCGACCCGTCTCCCACCGAGTATGCATGTAGAGTCTAGACTGGGCCCGGACCAGTTCGCGCAGTCCTGCGCAGCGGATCGACCCAACCCAGTGTGATTGAATTGAATTGAAAACGTATCGGGTCAGACTGGTCAGTGGGGAAACCATACCACACTTTTTCAACAACACTCTGTTCATCTTCAGCTCCTAAACACCAACTACTTTACCAACCAATCATTCTCACTGATTCTCATCGATCACCCCTCGATAAACCAACCCCCAAAAAATGCCACCAAAGACCTCTCAAAAGAGTTTACCTACCGATCCCAAGAGTGCATCGATTCCAACTCGAGTTAAAGATGTGACTAAGATGAATCCGAATGCGGTTACACCTGTGAATGGTGCTAGTGGTAGTGGTGGTAGACCTGATAAAGCTGCTTATGAACGTGAACAAACTAGTTTGAAGGTTGAAATTGACACTCTTCAAGCCAAAGTGGTAAGTCTATCATCTCCATCCCACTTTCCGAACTCATCAATTTCTTGTTTCTGATACTCAATTTTCTGGGTCACAGACAGCTATACGTGCACAGATTGGTGATCCTAAAGGTGGTGCTGGTGGAAATCCATTACAAGAACGTCGTAAGAAGTTAAGGAATGAAATGGATAGTTTAAGAGAAGAACAATCTAAAGGCAAATCTTCCAGAGGTAAACTTTTGGATCAAATTAAAGCTGGTAATGAAAGTGTACAACGAAAAGTCAGTCTTGGGTCCTCTTCAACAGCAATTTTTTGTGCTTTATGAAACTGATTTTGATTGTATTGATATGATTCCTTTGATGATCAATTTAGATCAAGGAACTGAATACCAGTCGAGGAAAGTTGCCTTACAAGTCAAGTGCAGAAGTAGAAGCCAAGATTCGACAATTAGATTCCCAAATCGAAAGTGGTACGATGAGAATTGTTGACGAAAAGAAAGCGCTAGCAGAAATTCAAAACTTGAAAAAACAACGTAAATTGGTAGATGCCTTTGGTCCACAACAAGAGGCTATCGAAGCTGAAAAGGCAAAAGTAGAAAATTTAAGGAAATTATTAGATGATCCTGAAAATAAAAATGTGAATGATCGTTGGGCTGCTATCAAGGAGGAATTAGATCAGATCAATGCTAAGCTTAATGAGGCGAACAAGGGTCGAGATAAGTTATTTGAAGAACGTAACCAACTTCAAGATACTTTAACTGAGTTGTTTACCAAAAAGCGAGAGTCTGCAACTCGCTACAAAGAAGCTAATGATAAATACTGTAGGTCATCTCAACTGAAACTCTTGAGTCTGAAAGATGCAAACTAAGATTTGATGGGATTCGGTTTCATTTCATAATAGATGCTAAGATGCAAGAAGACAGACAACGTAGGATCGAAAGACAAAAGACTGAACGTGAAGCCCTCGAAGCATCTGAATTAAAAGACATTCACAACGAAATGCGGGAAGAAGCATCTGCTCCAGCATACGAACGTGAAATAGAAGACTGTCGAACGTTGATCCTCTATTTCGATAAGTTAATCGGTAACGCAGGCAACAGTGATCAACCTATTGAAGCACCCGTCTTCGGCAAGACATCTAGCGTTGCACTCCCTAAATTAGGTGATGTTAGAAAAGTTGAAGAGGCTGATGCATTTCAAGGAATGGTGGCAGTGAAGAAGAAAGGATCAGAACAAGAAGAAGAGTTCTTTATGGGAGGTGGTAATAAAAAAGGCAAAAAGAATAAAAAGAGTCCACCTGAATCGACTGCTGCACCTGCAACACAAGCCCTTCAATTACCTTTGTCGACTCTGAATGCGCTTCATGCGTTAGCTATATCGGTCCCAATGACTCGAGATGATGTTGCGGCGACGATCACCTCACTTTCGGAAAAGAAAAAATGGTTCACGGACAACCAGGTATAGATTTCTCAATTTTGATTTTTTTTTACATCCAATACTCATGATTAAATTTTACAGGAACGGGTCACCAAGGAGAGGATAGCAGATGTAGAAGCCAAGATAGCAGCAGCGGAAGCGAAATTGAAAGCCAAATTAGAAGCCAAAGCTAAGGCCGAAAACAACGGATCTGATGATAAAGAAGTTAACGGAGCAACTGAAGCATCCTCACCTGAGGCTTAAAAAGAGGGTTTCACTTTCCATCCTAGAATAATTTCACTTGGCAAAAAAACGGTTTAAACATCTCTCCTCTCATCTTGCTTTTATGCTTGAAAAGACATCACACATGTCTTCATCTTAATAATTGCTTGTTCCTTTTTTTCCAAAGTACATATGGTGATCTATTCACTTGTTCAACTGATTTGTTCTTTACATACTTGTGAATTGACTTTATAAGCACTGTCTCTTTACATGTATCTCTTCAGTACCTTTAAAGTCGACCTATATGGCGATTTTCTCTTTCATGTTTTTCCTGCAGAACCATAGCTTAAATTTGAGTCATTGCGTACCCTTTTATGTGCATTGAGAGGTCAAAAGATGAAATTTCACACTGGAAGCTTTTACATTGACCCGCGTGTCTAGTGACGTCGTCTCGCTTCAAGTTTCTAATTTGCAATCGACATGTTGACGCACTACAAGGATGTCCTCAAAACCCGCATGTGCAGTGCGTCGACATGAACGGAACCCACTTCGCTTGAGACGTACGCATGCGTCTCAGCCAATTGACGAGCAAAACTTGACAAGTTAATTTGAGATCCGCGTCATGACCAAAGGATTTTTGCACTTCCGCTTAGCTCGCGGGTCAAATACGATGGGTTTCAGACAGCTTGGAGACTTTTGCCAGCAAAACTTGACCAATTTGGCGTGGAAGTCTTCCCAAGCTTTGTGTGATTGACTGCACATAGCCTCAAATCACTTGAGTGAGACTGAGGACCTTGTATACACCTGACATCACTCCAAGCTCTGAAGTCATTGAAAACTGAGAAATAATCATACTGCATGGTAAAGCGAATCTGAAGATGCAATGATAAAAAGTCGCATTGCTGAAATCGTGAGAGCTTGAGTCACCATTCCAGCCTCCAAGCCCCCAAGGATTCAAGGCCTTTGACAGGCAGATATGCTCGTAGTCCTTTTTTGACATCATCACCCTGAAGTACACTTAAGCACCAGCCAGGGTTCATTTATACTTCTCTCCCTCTCAATACGCTTAGAAACTTTATGAACTTCATCACCAGTCAGACCAAGTCAACCACCTGAAAAGAGGTTGTAGGTGTCCTTGAATAATCTTGACAGCTCCTTCCCAACCATGGAATGTGTTCACTTACCCTCTTGACCGCGAGATTTAAGACCACTGTGCAAGCACTTCGAACACAGCATGTGTGGCGAGATATTTTCTGCGCGTGAAGTTTTTTGATTACGAGTTTAAATACATATTGAGAAACCGAAGAAGCTAGGAATACATCACCAGTGATGAGAAAAGGAAATTGTATGTATGTAGCTAAGGAATTCTATTTAGCTGTTGAAACCTGCCTTGAAGCCTTCCAAATATAGCTAGAATCTATTGTGATTTCTTGTTTGTTGCATCAGCTGTGGTCGAAGAAGTACCAGCTTCGGCTGCAGTACCTAGCATTCTTGATCTGATCGATTGCCATTGTTGATCGTCCAGCTCTTTGAATTGAATCACTTCATTGGAATTTGACTCTGCTTGTAATGTCGAAGGTGATGCGGAAAGTATAGCTGATTGAGCCGCGAGTGTTGCAAAGATATGGGTTTGATCACGGTACAAACTGGTATCGAAAGTTGAAGCAAACAAATCAATATCAAAAGAGCAACAATTGATTGAAGCTGACGCAACTGATTGTGTAGAATAAACTGACCGAAAGGCTTCTTTGTTTTGAACACTATCTTCGTCTTTAATACGCTCAAGTCCTGCTCGCTTAAATGTGGATTTAATAAAATGTAGAACGTGACATAAAAAATCGGTTCTAGCGCGCCATGCAGGAAATTTGGATCGAATATCGAATCGACCGGTTTGTGGGTCGACCAATGGATGGAAACATTCAGTTGTGAAACGGACTACAGGTGGACTTGAAGGATAAGATGTAGGAATTTCTAGAACGAATCGATAAATCGCTCCAGCATAATAACCACGGTGTATGAATAGTACGCCTTGCCATTCTGTTGAGAGTGAAACTAATTGAGTATCTCTTGGATTATGAGATTTGAAACAAGCTAAGTGTTTTCTTACTAACGATAAATATTGGTTGGTGATGGTATGACCCAGACCCCGAGTGGACAATGTCCAGGAAGGCGAAGACTTGCAAATTCCAAAGAGACTTCCAAACTTGCCATTGTGAGTTTCTTTGTGAAGAGGTTTTGTTGGTTGATCGGAGACTTGACCTTTAAGCAACAAGTTATCCAACAGGCAGCCGTATGATGATAACAACGAGACAGCGACTAATCAAGCTGGCGCATGTCACGCTGTCTGTCACACGGTGTGATTGACATGTCCGGGTCATGTTCACAGTGACGGCTTTGATGAAATGCCATCTTCGGGAGAAAATCCAGCGAATGAAGAAGCATGATGCATGAGTGGTGTCCACTGTCAGTGTGGCATTTTCGAATCTCGATTCTCAACCGCCCTCCGACATGAACGGTCTGAGAGCCTTTACGTTTCTGCTGTCAATGCCTGATCGTGGGTCGCGACCGATCAGAAGGGTCTGGACCATTTCGACGTCAGCACCGCATCTTCTTCACCGGCATGTTATCACTGCGCCGTCAAGAATGAACGAATAACCAGATCCCACAGTCAGACACTTGATCCTCGCAAGCTCGTTAAAAAGCCCTGCGCGATTGGAACTTGTATTAAGTTCGAGCAATGAAGAGCTGGAGGCGAAGCAAAATTCTTCACTCTTGCCGACAGTAATCTAGACCAGTTCTTCACGCCTTTAAACTGGCTGAGGTTCGGGATTGACAGGCTCAGATAGATGGACCATGTAGCCATCTGATCACGCCGTGTCTACGGGGCTTTGAGCTTAAGCCTCTGATAACTCAAAGGCCAACCATGGTTTGAGTCTTGGATTCAGGTATTCTTCGGTGGCAGTTCAGTTCATCAGGAAGGTCCAGACTTTGAGGCATGTGGAGCCGAGCTGTGTTTACTCTCGAGTCGAGTGTGTGAAATTGGTTCATTCACTTGGACTTTCGAATTGCCTGAACTGCATCCTAATTAGATGCCGAACCGGTCAGATCTTCAGACGAACATCCTCGAAGTGGACTGATGGGTATCTCTCGAGTGGCTTTCAGCTGACAGAATCTTCAATCAGCTTTGACTTGATGACAATCAAAAGGCTCCCTTGAGCTCGTTTCGTTTAGCTGTTGTGACCTCATTGCTTCACTCATATATTCGACTGGCGGAATCAAGTCTCAGCTATAAAATCGTGATCGCGATTGAACATATCTTAATCTCCTACTCATAAGTCCACAATCCCATTCCTAAGTTTCAGTGAATCACCCTTCGTGTCGTCCATATTTTCGCCAATAAAAACCAACTACCTCACTATCATGAACTCATCAACCCAGTACCAATCTCTTCCCACCCACTATGAAGACGAACAGGATGTACGTGTTAGAAATCCACCACTTGCAACCTATAGAAAAAAGCGAAGCGGAGCCAAATGCGTTAGAATTATGCAAGCAGTCCCGCTCTTTTTCACAGCTTCGTGTGCTGGCTGGTTGGTGTATCAGTACTTCGATACAACCATTTTCACCGCAGACCTAGAAACTCCTATAGCTGCATCCTCCAATATTTCTCACCACGCTTCGTCTGTGGCTTTGGGCGACCATGTTAAACCTACTTCATATGTCGCGAACGATACTACTACGGAAACTGTGGATCAAAGCGAGCCCTCTGCACTTTCGAACATGACCCTCACCTCCGACAAGGGCGACGAAAAGCCGTCGGGAAATGAACCACTCAGCCTCAAGCCTGTTTTACCTAACCCTAATCTTTTTGGCAACTTCCTTGACGAGCTTCAACCAGCGCACCAATCTCGATACGTTACAGCAATTCCTTTGGGAGGTATCAACAATCAAATGACTGGAACAGTGCGTATCCTTCACTTTTTCCAAAACACAAACTACTTCTAACTTACTTTTGCTGGTCATTGTAGTACAATTTGATCAATCTGGGACGAATCTCTTCACGAACAGTCATTCTTCCGCCTATCATCCCAAATGAACATCAACCTGGTCCAATCAAAGGACAATCATACTCTCGGTACTATGATTTACCTAGAATGTCAACGGAAACAGGAATTGAAATGATCGAATGGAATGCGATTCGTAAGGACGTCCCGGAGACTGACACCGGCGCATATGAATGGGCTAAGAAAGATTGGAAGCTTGCTAGTAATCCATTGAAGTGCTGGGTTGCATCAAGGATGGGTGGCCCGAAGGAAGACGGTGGTCGATCGATTTCTGAGCGCTTTGGACGTGGATTGATGTTGGACATTCACCCAGAATATGCGCCTGGAGATCGCAAGAAAGGGTCTTGGAGATCGATGACTGCTGCGGTTCAATATCTTAACACCAATCAAAGTACTTTTTCGCAAGGCTCAGTCACCAAGGACGTGGGTTGTATCACCGAAAGCTATTGGTTGGACAGTCCTCACAGCTTCAAAGACGCTCAAGCATTGATCAAGTCTTTACGGTATGTTCATTTCTATTTTTGTCAATTTCAACATGATCCTGACCAAGATCGTATATTTTTAGTTTCACGACCTGGCTAGAAGCCACAGTGGACGACATGATCGCTCAAACACTTGGCACAAGTGTCATAGAAGTCATGAACGGAAAAGCTGAATTCATCACTGTTCATCTTCGTCGAAATGATATCGCATCCAAATGTCAACCTGCGCCCAAGAATTGGAAAGAACTCGCCCCAAAAGATCACAATCCTCAGCATCGTAAACGTCTGGATCTTGCTTCTGACGAACCTTTGCTCATTGATGATGGAATGCAGTTAATGAAGCGTAAAGCAGAATGGACTAGCTGCCGATTCACTGATTCATATGTAATCTCAAGGGTCAACGCAGTTCGAAAATCACTGGGAAAGCCTGATATTCCGGTCATATTAACTACCGACGATATCAATTCTCATTCATTGGCACTCTTTGACTCTCAACCTAATTGGCATAGATTCCAACTTGATCAATTTGTGTCGCATGAGTCATATGATGGATTTGATAGCGTGATGATTGATGCATGTCTTTTGACTCGAGGTTCTGCTTTCCTTGGAACTCGAGTCAGTATGATGAGTCGACTTGCATCTCATCGTGGAAAGGCTTGGTATTCGAGACGTTCAGAGATGTTTTGAATAAATCCTTCCTCTTTATGTCAACCTAGATATGAAATATGTAGTTGCGAAAAAAATATGATCTGTTTTCCTTTCTATCTCACAAATCCAAAAAAGTTGATAATAGTATGGGTTCACTTCAAAGAATTGTCTCACGTAAATCCCATCTATTCCGTGGTCTGTCAAAAACCCAAGACAAACATTGTATCTCCTATAGTTACATTTTTCAACGATTTTCCTCCTTTTGCATTGCAATCAGCATACTGAAAATGAATCATTATGTGCGTGTACTCATAACGCAAGCCCACTCATCTATATGGAAATTCAGCTCAAGATAAAAGCGGAACCAGGGAAAATGATACATCTGATTTGAGCCACAATTTTCCAAACTTACCTTGTGAGCTCTCATGTGAGTGACTAAGCTGGTTGCACAATGCAGCGGCTACTCATTAATTGAGAACGGGTCAGGAGGGTTTCTGTCCAATGTCATTGTCATATATTCTCAGAGAATCGAGCACCTTAGCATTATGATATATCATATACGTTTAAATACTGCGACAGGTATAGGGAAGTGAAAAGTGAAAAGGGATCTGATGATCAAGAGAAACCCATTTCGAGAACAAGGATTGGAGTTGATGTAATCACTTTAAACAGGGGAGTTCGAGCTCTTGACTCCGTGCTCGTTGTTGCTGTTGAAGGAATATGTGTCAGAATTGATCAATGTAAAGATCCGATGAACTTGACTTACAAATCCCAGATGAGATCACCGAGATAACCGCGTTCAATTTCCTCTGCGGTAGGCTCGAGGTCGTGGAAAGTCTGCAGGGAAGAAAGACAGGATTAGAAGAAGTCGAAACAAGCAAAATAACAAGGACACCTGCTTTTTTTGTGAGGCCAATCTGGAAGCATCCCACAGTGACGTTGGTGGTGTAGAAACGGCAACCTGAAGCAAAAGACAGATTAGGGATATTTTCACCAGACATTTGCATAAAGGATAACTGACCATCAACGACGGGCACGTAGAAAGGCTTGTCGGGTCGACCTTTACGTTGAACATAGAGTTGTTTACCGCAGTTGGAGGTCTTGGCACTGAGAATGACAAGAAGAATCAGCAAAATTGTCTGAAAAGAAAAGCTGAATTCAACACTAACCCGTTCAACCATCCAGCTGTAGAGCTGTCGTTTCCGTAAAGCTGTTCTGATCCAACCCATAGACAGGCTCCGGGTTGTGTGGTACTGTTGTACATTCCACAGATCTGATGGAGCCCAAGCGCCAACACTCCGATACATATCACGCTGGACAAGGGCGGTGAAGAGACGTGAATGTGGGACTTACACCTGGTCCGTCTGAGATTTGGAATGACTACGGAAAGACGATGCAATAATTATAGCCATTGTTTAAGAGAAGGACAGTCAAGGTCTTGAGATGACTTACGGTGTTGGTGTTTTCGGAGGTGTATCGACGATCAAGGGTTATCGATGAGCGCTTGGCCTTTTTGGGGTTATATTCAAACTGCAAGGGTTCATGAGATGGTAAGTCATCAAGAATGAACGTGACAGAAGGTAGATCAATTTACTTGTCCAACCCCCTTGAAAGGAGGTTTACCATTGGTGGCATTGCACCGGTTGCGGTCATCGGCAGCAGACCAAACACATCCATCCTTTTTCAAGAAGTAGTTGAAGCATTCGGTGTGCACGGTGGCCATGACAGCAGGGAAAGCCGTAAGAGCAGTGATAACAAGGTTAGTTGCAAGATGCATGATTGTGATTTCGTAAAAAGAAAGAAGTGTGGTGTTGAATAGATAGATGGGAATCGATAAGGACGGTGAGAAAGATTGGGGGGGAGGGTCAAGCTATTTATCTCGTCCAGACTCCAGAGTCGTGTGGGCTTTGGCCATCATAGGGTCCAAGATTTTGCGCTGTACTGAGGCTGTCCAGGTGGATTGAACAGGCATCCAGCACTCGGACCCATGGCTTTTTGGGCGTAATCCAATCAAGCCGGAAGGTGTGGTGCCTCTACTTGCGTGCCAGACCATACAAAGTTGTACGGACAGAGTGAATGATATAAGGCAGTGGGTAGTAAGGATAAATGTTTCATCCAGCAGATCCCCACAGAACTTCCGACACATACCTGTTCAAATCGACTCGAAAAAAGAATGACGTGACCTTGTTCCAGAGGAGTGGACGCCGGATTCACCTAACTTAACTAAGTCCCTCCTCCTCGCAGGCGTCCTCCGGAGCCTGCGGAGGAGGGACTTACGACTTATCGAGTTGTTTCAGCCTGAGTAGATTCCCAAAATCCAGATTTTCAAACATTTGAAACTGGACCTACATTATTACCTTCATCATTGCTTTGTTGAAAAATCTGAACAGACCAAAAAATTCTCGCACATCCTGTACATAGTCTCATCAACATGATCACATTGGTTAATATGATTCTTTTCCTTCAATCATCAGATTGAAATCTGTAACAATTTTTGAAGTCGATTGTACCACTGCGGAGGCGGTTGAATCCGAAAGATGCCCAAAAGGTTTTGGACGATGGCAAAAGAGAGAGAACCATGTCAAAAGAGAGAGGCGATCAAGGAGTAAGAGGGAGGGAGAGAGAGCGTCGTTTTGATTACGAGAGAGAGAGACAGACTCGTTTGTCTGTGAGACACGGTGCAAAAGTTTCAAGGGAGGGATTGGTTCTGGCTCAAGCTTTTGAAAAGCATACGAAAAATCAAGCTTTCAGCCCGGTTCTCAAGTTACCCAACCGATCAACTCACGGCGTGTCGACGTTGCTTTTCAATGGTCACCATCGATTCGCCTGCTTTCGAGCCTGAAGGAAGAAGAGATACTCTTCGTAGCTCAGCTAGAAACAATCTGACACCCGCGAAACATGTACAAAATAATCGACGACCTACTGAAGTCCTCGCTTATTTGCCTTCGGATGCAGTTCCTAAGCAAACTCATGCAAAGGTTGTTCTTCCAGACTGGGTCCTGGCCTTGACCGAGGAAGAATTGAGGAAGCTAATTGAGGACAATCATTTGAAAAGATATAAATGCAAAGCTAAAGAGCTACAAGTAGAAGCAGTTGTGGCTTTGGTCGCGGGGCGTGATACATTTATACTGGCGGGCACTGGCTATGGAAAGACTCGAGTTGCAGAGATGTTTCTGGATTTGTTTGCAATAGAGTCAAAGGCCACGCTTATTGTGTTAAATCCGCTGGATGCTTTGGGTGACAATCAGGTAAGTGATACATATTCCATAATCATCATCGGAGCCCATCATGTTACTATACTTTACTTATTAATGTAATGTTTTGATCTAAGGTTACTGAGAAAAAGAGATGGAATATCACCGCTGTGAATTTGAAAAAGGACAGCTTTACAAGCGCTGTGGAAAATGATATCATGACAGGTGTTTACAGAGTAATATATGTGGTGAATATTTTTTCTCGAACCTTCAATTGTTCATTCATTGAAATGAAGCTGATGTCAAAATACTTTGGATTTTTGATAAAGAGCCCCGAAATCTTTTTAAATAC